AACCTCTAGTGAAACCCCTGTATGTTGAAGAAATAAAGGAGATATTTGTGCATCTATAGTTTCACCATGGGCTTCCATATTTTCGCCAAGTGCTCAATTTGATTAAACTATTTTAAATATTTTATTCTTGATGAATTGCAATAACTCTATCTATTCAATCAGGTTTTTAACTTGGATAATAATTATACAAGAGTATACTGTAATATTGTATTTTTGTAAATGGGCCATACAATACACAATGTGTGGATTTTATCTCCATGAATGATACATGTGAGGTACATTTGTGTAAGCTCAAAACAACTCTTACAATGTACGTGTATTTCAAAGAACAATTGTACCACTTATATCAAATTAAAGGAATGCAGCTTAAAAATTGTAGATATAAAATGCCCTTGCAGGAAGTTCAGCTTTAATATATATTGCCAATTTAATGTAAGATATCATGACACACAGACACAAACATAGAATTGATTAAAAATCTTATATTATGTTTGAAAATTAAGAACATGTACCACGTATGCATCAAATTAAAGGTATGCGATTTAAAAATTGAGAATACACACAAACACAAACATTAATTTTAAATCTTAGATTATGTTTAGAAATTAAGAACAGAGGGCATATGGCACTACATCACTACTAACAGTAGTGACCTTCCAACCCCTCTTTGAAGAGTGCTATATTGTCATCATCTAGTGTTGCTGGGGTCTATTTCTCCAAATTCTGTAAAGGTACGGATCCGTAAGTCAATTGTTCTTTCTCAAACTTACGGAGATTGTGCATTTCTCGAAAATTCATAGATTTACAGGATTTCCGTAAGTTTACGATGTTCATGACGTCATAGCCGTCTTTTTTTCCGTAACTTTATGGGCAATTCCATAACTGTTTACAGAAGAATTACGATACAGTGATACAATTTGATTACTACAATAGTCATATTCTCTAGGGCATACTACATGGTGTGTTTGACACCCAGTTGCAAGCATGTAAGGTGTTATCCCAGGACAGTCCAGTTGGGCAGACCTTAAGTTCAGCCACTCCTGAAGATGTAAACAAATATTGCGAGTAAAAAATTTCCTCATAAGAGGATCTAATTTAAAATACAGAATTTTTTCATGTTCTTATAAATATACCTTCTACGCTGCAATGGTAATACTGGGTGCAGTTTGTCAGATCGGGAAAATAATATTCTTTCAGAGTCACATCACAGCTTATGTCTGGAAGAAATCGAAAAAAAGCTTGTTCTGTATACATCTCTATATTTTCTACCAGTTAGAATATGGAACTAAGGAAAATCTAGACGTTTATTTTATTTTTTGGGTTGCAACCCCTGCCTAAGTGAAATTTTTATGAAATAAGCAATATTTTGTTACCGTACAGCATACCTTGCTTACAACAAGTATGTGACCCAGACCACTGTAGACCAGGCATGCATTCCCTGACACCATCTGGTATGAAACCTTGGTAACAACCATATTTGGCAGTGTCACCCACCTCATAGCCTGTCACATTAACGTAACCATGGAGACACGAGGGCAGCTTCGGACAGCAGCAGGCTGTACATAATAAAGTCCGTTTTGATTTCTTATTGATGTAATATAATACATTTACCTATTTAATTATCATTTTTTATTCACAAACTATCTTTCCTTGCAGTAATTGGCATCCTGGAGGCACTTAAATAAGTTAAAAAAGTTTTCTTTATTAGCTCTCATTTAAGTCTCGATTGATAAAAAATCCCAGAGTTCTAGGAAAAATAGGAATATACCCCCAGGCCTCCAAAAGTCTGGGGGGGGGCGCTAATGGGAACATGGTCGCCAATTACGGAAAATATGGTATCTCCTTAAAGTCTTAAACACTGTAATGTCAGAAAATGTATGCAAGAACTTACTATTGGAAACAGATATTTTACATTCAGGTGTTGTTCCATCCCAAACTAATTCCTCAGTGCATCTCCTCATGGTTTTAGATGGATCACTTATCACATATGGAGGTCTACATGTATAATGTGCTTCACTTCCAGGGACTTTTCTGTCATCCGAGTATTTAATGTTACCATTAGGAATGAATGGTAATGTGCTACATGCTTTGAGTGCTACACACTCTGGGGCTTTGCCATCCCATATAAGATTATTTCCATTATTTGTACATTCACGCATGGATAGGCTTGGGTCATTTAGATGATAGGGAGAATAGCATGCATATGTTGCAGTTATTCCCACACCCAAGACCCAGTAGGAGTATGTTATATAGCCATTTTGAATATATGGAAGTACATCACATGATTCAGCTTGACTACAGTCATCTCCCTGGTGAGGAAATATACAGCATCGTAAGGCTACATATATTGAGAAAATATACAGTATTTATGCAATTATGCATTAAAAATACAGAGCCCTCATATACAAGTTAAAAAATGAATTTATGACAGTGACTTAAGCATAGGCCCCGGGAACATGTATAAAATAGCGAGTCAACATCTGTATTACTACTTCTTCTGTAGTAATACAGATGTCGACTCGCTATTTTAAACATATTCCCGGGGCCTATGGACTAAGTGCCCATGCTGATTTTGACTTTTTTCTACTTGTGTTATCTAACTATGGAGAAAAAGAGGGAGATCTATGACAGTGGCAACCTCAGACTCTCTTATATCTTACCTGCCATCCACTCTGGCACTGGCACACATTGGGTCCTATACAAGTACCATGGCCATTGCAATCACCCAGGATAGAACAGTTTATAGCTTAAATATAAATGATAAAAGGATGATATCTTGTAGGAAAAGTCACTTAAGTGTTTACAGGGTGTCAAATAAATATGTTCTCCCCCTTAATTTCAAGGGTATGAACTTTTATGCATAAGGGTGCATCTACTTGAACTAGTCAACTGACACTCCTTGTAGAGTTGCTTTATGAAGCCTAGTTTTAATGTGCTAAAGAACAAATCAGATATCATGCAGACAAAAAAGTAATGCAATATTATGTGGATATTGAAATTAAGGGGAGAACATATTTATTATCCCATCGAACGAAGTTTGGAGGGATATAGGGAACGCCTCCTTCCGTCCGTCCGGGCAATAACTCAAATACCGTTGGCCCGATTTTGTTCATATTTTGTACACATATACCCTATGGGGGTAGAAGTTCTGCTCGAAAGCCGATTTTCAAAATGGCCGCTCATTTCAAAATGGCGGCCATTTTAGTGCCGAATTTACAGTAATTTAGGTGCAATATGTAAAACTGTAATAGCAATATGTTTTAGATGTAAAAAAATTATATAGGACATTAATAAACCTAGAAATGTAGATATTAAAGAAGCACATGGCAGCCATCTTGAAAAATTGCGGCCTTTACTCGTTATTTTACGATTTTTGCTTTAACTCGAAAAGTAGTGGAGCGATTTTGTTCATATTTTGTATGTGAATACTATAAACATTGCACACTGTCTAAAGACACTTTTGTTAGAAGGTGGCCATTTTAAAAAATGGCTGCCATTTTGAAAAATGGCCGCCATTTTAGCCTATTTTACTATAACTCGAAAAGTAGTGAAGCAATTTTGTTCATATTTGGTATGTGAATACCATAAGGATGGCACACTGTCTAATGACACTTTTGGTAGAAGGTGGCCATTTTGAAAAATGGCCGCCATTTTAACGTATTTTACTATAACTGGAAAAGTAGTGGAGCGATTTTGTTCATATTTGGTATGTGAATACTAAAAGCATGACACACTATCCTATGACACTTTTAGTAGAAGGTGGCCATTTTGAAAAATGGCCACCATTTTAATGTATTTTATAATAATTCGAAAAGTAGTGAAGCGATTTTGTTCATATTTGGTATGTGAATACTGTAAGCATGGCACACTGTCTAATGACACTTTTGGTAGAAGGCAGCCATTTTTCAAAATGGCCGCCATTTTAACATATTTTACTATAACTCGAAAAGTAGTGGAGCGATTTTGTTCATATTTGGTATGTGAATACTATAAGTATGGCAAATGGTCTAATGACACTTTTGGTAGAAGGCGGCCATTTTGAAAAATGCCTGCCATTTTTGCTATATACTTTGTTTGTAAAAATGCCATCCATGGCTGTTCGATGGGATTCACTACGCTTTGGCGTTGCCGTTGTTCTGGTTTGACACCGTGTATAATATATGTATTGAGAGGTGCATATTACACTTAAATGTATTTTGTACACTGTACCTTCGCATGTTGGCAGAGGGTCACTCCAACGTCCTACAGCCATTGTAGGATCAGTGCCATCTATACATGTTATTGTGGCATGCCCATTTATATAATACCCTGCTGCACATTTAAAAGAGACCTGATTGCCCCAGCTATTGTTAATTGAGACCCCTTCTGTGATGAACAATCTGTCTGGTAGTGGGGAGATATCTGGGCAAGTGATTTCTATAATTGAATATTCTGTGTTAAAGGGTTCCGATAAGCATCCCGTATAAAAACAATATGGCGGCTCCAGGCGAATCGACTGGATCAGTCCATTTTTATGAAAAAAGGGGAGTTGTAAAATCCAGTTTATTGAAATTGTCTTTGAGATAAAGTAATCCGTTTATAATGATTTTGAAAACATTATCCATAGAGTGATTGCGTTCAAAGAATATGTACAACAGCCAATATAAATCCTTGTATTAGAACTGCTTTGTTTCATTTGTAGGATATTTCATATACCAAGCTGTGTGCTATTACGTTATGGGGAAATTTAGATGTCAATTTTCCTTATTATACACAAATAGAAGATCCTGAAACTTCACCCATAAATGTGGAATTGATTTGTCAAATAAAAATCACCGTTTTATAAATATGTGACGATCTATAATATACTTATGCTATATAACAGTTAGAGGTGTTGACACAACGACCTCGAGCCTGTGAACCCTTGAGTATTATTCCGGGATCGGGCCTTTTATACTAAACGGTGAGCAACACCAGAAACGAGCGTTCGATTTGCTAAACGATATGCGTCACCCTTTAAACATGAACATTAATTTGATATGTAAAGGCATGTTGATACTGTGTTAAGCATGAACATAGATTTGATATATAAACACACTACCCTACCTCGATAGCGCATGCGCGAATATTTTGGCTTTCAATCAGGTCGCTTTTGAGTATATCGACTGCTTAGTGAAAAGGTTAATACGTTTGGTGCTCGGAGTGAGTCAATATTGCTATTCGCTTAACTTCAGTGGTGCAATAGTGAAGTCCATGTTCCAAGCTATATGATAGTTGAAGAAAGAATGTGAATAATATCGTTTTAAATTTTAAAATATTTGATATGTCATAGTACACGGTACACAGCTGCAAAAGTTGATCAATACAGGGTACAAGGAATGTAAATTGTTCAATAGTACAGGGAGCGAGAAAGTAAGCTGATTATACAGACATACTATTCCCGATCTCATGTATATTTACGTTGCAAACAGTGAAACTAATGCTAAAAAGGCCGCCTGTTGATGCTTTGTGTCATCAATTGTTATTTAATCCAAATAAAGTAAACATTATTTAGTAGATTTAGACACGGGCTTTCAGGTCGTATATGCATTTTAGTTATTAAATTAACAAGAACGCTAGATTATACGTGTTACTAGGGTATCAAATTGAAATAAAATAACGAAATTAAATATAAACACGTAAGTGATAAATGACTATCGGCTATCAGGATTAATGACTATCCGCTATTCAGAATAATTAAAATTGCGTGAACTACATGTAAAGAATCTTTCTATATAACCCCTTGAATGGTCTAATTCACTACCGTCCTCAAAAACCGATCATTTAAAATAGTTTGTTCAAAATACCATCATGCCACGACATTTTGTTCTTCACGATTTGCTGTAGAGGTGATATGACGTCGTATTTCTCTATTATTGTAAAAAAAACTAATACCAGATCGATGTAGTCTTATATGACGTGTTGGATGTCAGATGTTTTTGGATGGTATCTGCTCCAGTGATTTTGCATTTAATCATGAAACGCTCATCACAAGACACCTCGAAACAAACATTATCCTCCTTGTGACAAGAGGAAAAATGTTTCACAATATGTTATGCCTTACGGCAAAGTAAAGATACATTTCTGGGACGACTTTTTTGCATCTTAAGATTTTAGAAAAACAATTAATTCACAAAAGTACAGTTGAATAACATACTGGAAAACGACTATCCACATATAACACGATGACATGCGGTTTAAATAACAGTTTACTGGGGTTTTGTTAATATCAATGTAACATTTTCGAAGGGAAACTTACATGCTCCCTGTACGTTGACAGATTTACTGAAATGTATCGTGTATTGCATTGAGTTTTGCTTCACTGCACCCACTATTATCTATCTTTGCCTATAGTGGTTTTTTGCCAACAATATTCTACAAACTGCTTGATGAATCAATTCTTTGTCTGGTAGAACACTCAAAATAAATGTAAAATGTATTTTACGTTCAGAAATATGGAATTAAACCCACGTCCTCCATTTGCAACTTAGCTGTACCCTGTTTCCCTTTTAAACGTGGTCACGTGGTAGGGTAGTGTGATAAAGGCATTGATTCTGTGTTAATCATGAACATAGATTTGATATGTAAGGACATGTTGATTCTGTGTTAATCATGAACATAGATTTAATGGGTAAAGACATATTGAGACTATTCCGTGTGTCCTTGTTTCTATTCTTACCTGTACATGTTGGCACACTATTTTTCCACCTTAAACTGCTCTTACATTTCATGTATGTTGTGCCACTTAGGAAGTAACCATCATCACATGAAAACCAAACATGATCCTTTGGCTTGTAAATACCATTTTCATGATATGACTCTGTTGTTATACTGAGGTGGTCTGGTAGTGGAGGCAGTAATGGACAGTGCTCTATGATACCTTCCTCTGAAGAAAAGTTATCATAATTTGATTACACATTCCTTTCTTTTGAATATCATTTTTATATTACACTTTGAAATAGTGCTATATTGTTTGAATTTAGAATGATAAAATAGATTAAAATTCCTCAATTCACTAACCTTTTATAGCATTACTATCTAGAATGATAAAGTCTTGAAGTATAGAGATAAGTCAATGCTTTACTTTCTGAGAAATAGAAAAACATCTTACCCCAGCATACTGGGATTCTTCCAGGAAGCCATATGGGTCTTCCATTTTTATTAAGTTTACATGTTTTAGATGCTGGTCCAATTATGTAGTAGCCGTTGTTACATGTAAATGTAGCAACACTACCTAAATCATAAATGTACATACAGTATCATGGCAGGTCTTATTGCTGTTATTCTTGATAAAGAACTTGCAAAATAGTACTATTTGGCATTATTTGCATAGTGGTATTGAAGCCATATTAATAATTGTCCATGTCAACAGAATGCTTTGTGAAAGAGATCGCTATGTCACTTGTCATTACTTGATAGCCTTATATTTTTGAGGATTTCTTGAAAAGTAAAAATGTGCAACAACATTCAAAACTTCTTCAAGAAGTGATATTGCAAAATGCAAAACTGTGGTCACTTTGAATATTCAGTACATATTCCACTGAAGTTATTTTGTCATGCTGTCCATTATACTAGTAACAGTTCAAATTCATTCAAATACATGTATTGCATAAATTATATACTCGATCAATAGAGGTTGCTTAATGACAATTCTATAATAAAACTAAACTTGATGACGAGAGTTTGAAGTTCTTTTGGTAAAGGAAACATAAGAAATGGTATGACAACTACTTACCCAATGTATACCCAAGTGTTACTTCAACAATGCCATTTTGTATGCTTAAAGCTGCACATGCGTCCTCACAAAGTACATAGTCTATATTGCATACCAAATAATATAGCAAAACATAACCAAGCATGTTGTGCATGTCAGTTGGAACAGTTGACTGATTAATATGATAATCAAGAATGGGGTAGAAAGTGATTGGAAGATATAAAAAGCATCTTAAATTCCATTATTTTAATTGTTTAAGCTTAACTTGATACGATTAAGTATAATGGATTAATCAACAATAGTGGTTTATATTTAGATTCTTAGTGATTTTGTTTAATGCTTTCTTTTGATGATGTCAATTGCTTTTACAGTGTGTGAAAATAATCATATGTGGCATTAATAAAAACATACAAAGTGATACTTTCTCACTTTCAAACTATAAATCTAAAAGAGCCTTTCTTACTAATGCATTGTTTTTTATTAATCATTAGGTTTTCAATAAAATTATATTATTTGTGAGCAAGACAAAATGAGAAAGCAGTCATTTTTATATTATGGAGGAGATTTTAATATGATAAAGATCTGGCATTCAATACATCAGTCTATTGTTGGCCATAGAAGTTGCAGATCTAGTAAAATAAGTAGGTATTGTACTTCACTCCAATCCATCTCCTTCAGTAGGACACTCTACATTTTTTGGCCAATCACAATATAATCTGTCATTATTCCAAAGTAAACCAGAAGGGCACCATTTTAGCCAAGGTATACCTTAATTTAGAAAAATACTTGTAAATTATTTCACCGAGATCATTCTCAGAATTGCTGTATACTGTTTTCTTGAATCATTCTGGCATGTACAGAGGGACCAGTGACTTATATCCATATACTAGATCAAATAATTTTATAAAATAGAATAACTCATCTATTATTGTGCATGTTCATGCAATCTGCACAAATTGCCTAATCTTCTGATCAATTCATATTTCTGAATATCCTATAGCACTTCATGGACTATGGATTTCATCTTGTTGTATCCCCAACTATGTCAGACCACTGGTATTCATTTTAAGTTTCATCTAAACATGTGTTGTAAATCTTTCAGTATGAATGAAATGCCCATTGACCGTGTGGCTTTGGATTATGACAGTCCCTGAATGGTAAGGAGAGGATATTAGACACTATTTCTTCTGATTTTTTGTTACTGTGTTTTGTTCTTTTTGTTCTCTTTGCAACTGAACTTATATGTTTATTATTTGTACTAAAATTGAAGAAATTTCACGACTCACCATCCAAGCCACAATGGTAAAATCTATGGCATGAAGTTGTATCAGGGAATAGCCTATGCACATCCCCAATTTTTGGATCAGAGCTATTAGCTGGGCAATCTACACCTGGTGGATAGTATATTATGCATGATGGGGCTGGCTCCTCCCATGTTGAATCATTAAGGCATTTTCTTGGTGATAAATTTGGATCATCCAATTCATACAGGTAACTGCAATTATAAAAGGCGAGGGTTCCCGGTGGTCTTCTTTTATCAGAATAAGATATAGAACCTCCTTTGATATCTGGTAATAGATCACATTGGTAGGGATTTGATTTCACACAGGAGGGTTCTGTACCATCCCATGTCAAATTCTCTGTACATGTTCTTGTAGCAGTGCTTGCTTCCTTGATCTCATATCCTTCATGACACACGTAATAAGCAAATGTTCCTGGTATTTTTTTGTCATTAGAATATGTTATACTTCCACCCTCAATGCTGGCCAATGCTGAGCAATTTCCTGGGTGTGTAAATACCATACAAACCGGGGCTGTACCAGTCCATGTAAACTTATCAGTGCAAAGCCGAGGTGTAAGTTTATGGTTGTTAAGTTCTGTTGGTGGATTGCAAACATAGTAAGCAAGGGTACCCTGGGCAAGGCTGTCATTACTATATGTTATTGTGCCATCTTTGATATCTGGTAGAGGTTTACAAGCAGTGCAGTTTTCTACAAAACAAGGAAAATCATTCTGTCAATTTAAATACGGGGCAATAATTCCTTGAAATCATAATCCTGCATGCAATTAATTATAATTCAAGACTAACCACAAATGTAGTTGTTGCAAACCATGCATGGATATCCTGGCCGTTCTTTATTACAGTCTTCATCTTTGCAACATTCGACTGAAATTGAAGGATGCATGTGAAAACACGTTCCATCATATTAAATTAATTTTGGTATATTAGCATGTGTTATTTCAAATTAAAATGAATCATCAGATTATCGATTTATTTGATCAGAAATAAGTAAATTGTACCTCTGCAAACTTTACAATTTGGGGCAGGACATGCACCTTGGATCACGCATCCAGGCTTTTGGAGATAGCATTTACAGTTCCTCCAAATACCATGTTTATTATCACCACAAGGGCATCTGAATTGAAATACAGTAAACTCTCAAGTGGATTACCTCTGTTAATTAGTAGATCCCCTTTCAGATTTCAATGACCCAGTGGCTCAATCTTACTAACACATGTTTTACTTCATGAAAGTGTGAAATATAAATTAGTTGATTATTTCATTTTACTTTAATATGAATTTAATACAAAACATTTTGAAATTTTCTCACTATGAATTTACAACCCTTGCAAAATTGAATATGAATTATATATATCTTACTTGTCCTGGCAAGCACATTTACCATCTGATCCTAAGCTGGATAGACTGCAATCTTTACATTCGCATTTACATGGACATTGACTATTCTGATCAATTATATCTTTCGTAATACGATCTTTGCATAAACAAGAGCACTACAAAAGAGATATCCTACAATATAATATGTTTGTGTGTGTATTTCACAGAAAAATTGCTTTTATTTTCAAAATCATTTCGAACTAATTAGCATTAATCTCAGGTCATTTAAAATTGTGTACTACCTTTCTATAAAATGTGAGTTTATTAAGATGCAATTACATTTAGTATTTTGACATGTGATGACTTTTAATATGTGTGAGAAAGTGCCAACAGAAAAGTACCAAAAATGGTAACAGAGCACAGCAAGTAAAAGAAGACATCTAAGAGAATACAAAGCCCAAAACTATCCCAAATTATAATCCAATGTGAAAAGAAACAGTGTCTAATATCCCCCCTCCCAATAATACTGAAGTCATTACAATACGTGTTGAACAATAATTTAAAAAATTGAAAGTCAATACTCATAACATCAAAAATAGATGTAATAGTTTAAGTTATCTAAATCATTTGACACTGTATTAAGTTGATCACTTCTTGTGTGTTTTGATTTTTTGGAAATAAGACCAAAACTCAAATTCAAATTTTGAAGTGAATAAATGGTGGCTGTTTGATTTTGAAATTTTAAATCATGATATGACTCCATATATGGCAGAATATCAAGTTGGAACACTGGGAGCCAATCCTCCTTGGTATTGCAGTATGAACCTACATCACATGATCCATCAGGTCTCATTTTGTCATAATCCTGTCCATCAGCACATTTACAGGGGCACCATAAAGATCCATCTGCCCTTAATGTTTTAATTCTTTTATCTGGACACCTTTCACATATGCACTGACCACCCTGCCTCTAAACATAGTATGATATAAAATTAGGAATGTAATCAACAAATATCCAGGATCAAGGATAGTTTGTAGATGCCTTTATTGTCTCAGTGGTGGCAGAGTTATTTAGTATAAACAGGGTGTCCAGTGAATATGATTGATTTATATTATTTATGATATATTATTAATGCTAAGAAGCATATGTGCAATCAGTTAAGTGCAGGATGGAAATATGAAGATATAATTATAATGCCCTGGGAGTGGTACTTACCTTGTAACTCATGTAAAATTCTTCTCCAACTTTACACATACACTTACAATAACATTCATCAGTGATTGGGTCTAGTATACCATCTTCTCCAGTTTCTTTACATGTGCAGCAATTTACTCCTGGTATATCACTTGGCAGGCAAACACTAGAAAAGAAATACACTCATCACATAAATTCTTTGTAAAGAGTTTGCTGCAGGAGTATTTGGCAGCACCCACCAAAGCAATTTGATTTATCCTACCTTTTGGTTATCATAAGATTTGGAGTTTCAAAGTCCAATAGTGAGAAGGTATCTTCCCATATAAACAGATTCAAAGCCAAATCTGCTACCACCTTCTCTATTCCTGCTCTTAAGTCAACTCCTATTTCTTTTTCTGGTTCATTCTTACAACTATCGGTACACAAAGAGGCAATGACTTCAACAATAACTGGTGTGCTGATTGACAGATCAACTACAGGTGCAGCATCTGAATATATGTGTAATTTGATTAAGTTTCAGTTGATCAACATTCTGCAGTATCCTTCTATTGGTAGAAAGTATTAAATTCTTCAAGTGATGGATTTATTTTTGACAATCAAAAGACAAGTGCATCACCTTACTCTTTAACTTTTGTGCTGCATAAACTAGATAATGTTACTTACTTCCTGATCCTGTTAAGATATCCTCCAGGAAACCAGGAACCCACCAAGGAATGTCATTCTTAGACAGACCGGTGCTTGGCCATGCAACACCTAGCTTTGGAGTCAGTGTACTTCTTGCACCAGCCTCTGTTTCTTTCTTGTCAACTTTTCCTGTCAATCCTTTTTGGAATGTCACATCAAACTGCAGTACATCAGCATGCATATTTAGGCAATAATAACATTTACAAGTTTGTTAAATCATTGTTTAGAATTCCTTATGAACATTTGAACTCTTAACAGTATATTGTATATTGACTAAAAATTGATTTGTTTTATAAAATGGGTATGTTTGATCTAAAAAGATCTCACAAATTTATCTGAATTATTTCCCACACTAGTATTTACCGTAGGCCTAGTTATCCTCAAACCATTAGAATCTGTCCAAGCTGCTCCCATAGTTGTAACAGCCGTAGCTCCTATATGTCCTTCAACAAAAGCTTTTGCCTGTTGAGAAATAAATTGTCAAAAATGTCATACTTAGCCTTACTCAATAGTTTATATTGTAATATAGTGTGAATTAAATTCAGTTAAATTAATTCCTGCAAACAGCCGCCATTATCCCACATAACATACACACGGGGGATAAGCAAAACGAGGGCGAAGCCACGGACTGCGACTCGCGTAATTCAAAACGAGGTTACAACGCATTATAGCTGAACAATGGCGGTAAGTCCAAACTTAATTTGGAAGGCATGTTAGGATTTGGGGTAGATTATTGGTTTGGATATTCTACAGAATAGCTAGTATGTTCCAGTCGGTGATCAACATATTCATTCTCCATCTGCAATGGCATTCTTGGTGCTCGGCTGTCCAATAGTTTAGCATGAACACAAATGAATTCGAAATCTGCCACAAAAAAATGTAATTTTGTCAATATTTGTCCCTAATATACCGATTTAAACAAAGGAATCAGAAATGACATCGAATTAATATAATTATTCATGTTCTGTTGTTACAATTACATCTTCGTGTGATATTTGGTAAGCGGAAAACGTACAATTACATAGAAAATTGGAATTTATAATAGTCGCAGTCCATCCATCTGCCCAACGCAGTTCGCGACTTAGTGTTGCTTTATATCTGAAGCTGAACGCAATCACAGCCAAAGGTAGATAGCACAATGTGTGTACAGGTGTGGCCGAAATGGAGCAACTTTGGACAAAATTGAATATAAAGGGCTATTTTAATAGACCTACATCGTGTCTCAATCCATTCTGCAAATATATACAAGCTGTCAAATACAGCTGAAATCATGAATTTATGGTAGCTAGCAATATTGATGGACTGTTGGAAAGATCATCCAAAATTACATTAACTCACCAACTCTCCAATTATTTGATATTTTCCTGATATCTTAAATACTAGTTAATGTACCCTTCCCCAACAGCTTTTATTGCATCATCAAAAAGTTAATTGTTTCGCATTTCTACTTCTTATAAAAAGTCTCACCACTATCCAATTATTTATATATTTAACCCTATCCACAAATTGGTTTGTAATAAAAATATTACGTTGTCATCTTGCGCTCGACTGTTCTGCCAAATACGCTATTGAATTGCCATATTTCTAGGTCTTAAACGATACAATATAGCAATTTGGGACATTGATTCAGGTAATAGATATATGTTAATCAACGTAACTTTGAATGATAATCTGGATGCTGACTTTCTTTTCCTGAAACAATAATAGCATAGGAATATTATTATAAGTTTACACTATCTTATTTATTTCGTGTTGGCGGCTGGACTGCGTTACTTAGAATATCAATGGAGGCTGTGTTGCGTTGTTGAAATAGCTTTGTTTACTGGACTGCGTCCACTGTGAATGCGCAGTTTGAATCTAATTTTCTCCTCATGAACACATTCTATTATCAAATCATTTTCACGAATTATACTCGGAGCCTCAACTAACCTTTAGATATCAGAAACGTGTTAAAACTCCTTTCAAATGTATAGTAAATTAAATAATATGCACATATTTTACAGGTAAAATCAGATCTTTGCTACTGTTTTAGCTTGATCTGGACAACTGCTTATTTTCTTATCTACAGACCAACAGTAGATACAGAGTAATATTTTGGTCACCGATTAGACACTACGATAGCATTTAAAATACCTGGATTTCTCTATTTTGTCGGAAGAAGCAGAAGGCACTGCCGGATGTCCCTCCATTTTGGCGCTGGGCTGCGGTGTAAAGTTACGCGAGTCGCAGTCCGTGGCTTCGCCCTCGTTTTGCTTATCCCCCGTGATACAAGAGATTATATTTTATCTTCTGATTCTGCCCGATGATTTCTCCTGATCCTACCCCATGATATTCACATAATAGACTAATTGAATAACAATTTTTGGCTCACATGGTAAGCCTATGTCAGCCATTCATCAGTCTGTTTATCAGTCCGTCAACAATATTTACGACAAATGAAATATGCCACATGCTCATATCCTGTTTATGGAGGTCTGTACTGATAATTTACTCAATTTTTTCTAGTTCCTACCTTTGCCTTGTTTTGGACAAATCAAAATTTCATCAAAATAGCAAAACTGAAGAGCAAGCCAATATATGCCATCTCTATACAATATTACTTTAAGGACTGTTGTTCTGTCTTTATTTACCTTAGCCCATACTTTTGCTTCAAAATCTAATTTGAAGTAGATTTTCCCAGGAATTGGAATAGCAAATACCATAATTATAAACCGTCTCAAAGTTTTGTCTACAAGTTGTTTCTCCCATGTTTTCTCGAACCTATAATATAAATTATGTTCTTTTGTATTTTTAACATGTAACATCCTTAATCTGCAGTCTAATGGATAGCTCTTTTTGAATAGTCTGATATTGGTTTTTTAATATTCTTTTATTAACATACTGAATTTATATGGAACAGTGTAAATATAACTAGAAAAGCCATTACCCATTTTCAAAAGTTACAGTTACTGTCAGTCCTGTCTTAAGTGTCCCTGATAAATCAGCCCCTACTCTGTATATGAAAGGTGGCCATATTCCTACCTCAGCAAAAAGTGTGAGAGAAGGAGTAAAGATGAAGTAAGGGTCAAACTTCATGGAAACTCCTCCACCAAACTGAAATCATATACGAGGGCTGATTCAAAAGTAATGTATAGAAAATTTTCATGTTTATTTTCTTCTTTTATGACTAACCTTTTATTAACAAAATTCTTAATTTCTGTGACAAATCTCAATAATTTGATATCTAGCCTGATGGGGCTTTGTCTCACCTGGGGTTTTAGCTTGATCACATGTTACTCATGATCTTTCCTGATGAGTTGTTTTTGCCTGAACATGTATTTGCCTAATCAGGCATTCTAGCCAAAACAAGCATTCTTTGGTGTGATCAGGCAGTTGATCCTAACTGATTATTTGTCATTTGTCAAACTTACGTTTACTGTAGTAGGTGTTCCATATCTCCATCTTGGAGCCCATGTTTTCGAATAAGTTTTTCTCTTTATTCTTTTTTGTTCTGCTGGTACATATGTCTTGTTTTTGATCTCATCAGTCAGTGGGAGACCCTCAATGAAGGTGAACTCTCCAATGCTAGTTACCTCATAGATCTACAATTTTTATCAGCATTATTTCATTTCATATTATTCAGCACATGGCTGCATACAATGTGCTTATAAAAACTACTTACCTGCAAAAGAAATGCTCCTGATGGTCTGCCTACTATAATATCTCCATGCGTTAGATCTGTCTGTGATTGATGAAAATACTGCAGTGCAGGCCAGTTATCTCCCCCAGGACAAATCATTCTCTTGCCACCTTTTGTAGCTTCACTGTCAACAGTTGTACTTGTTATGATTCTGAAATGTTCCATAACATGTCATGCAATACTTTACCTTCATTTTCTTCATTAAACCTTTATTAGCTAATACTTTTTCCAAAGTGATCAATTCCCATCATATAAGACCTTATCTTTAACATGAGGCTTATCTTTAACATGAGGTTTATATTTACTTGTGTAAAAGGTGTTTCTCTGTTGAACAATCCAGGAGACTTGTGACAGCAATCTTAGCTGAAGTGCTAATAGTTTTGATAACTTCCAAATATCCCTTTGTGGCATTTCCTATGAGGACACCACCTTTCTTGTATGTTTCAGTAAGATCCTTTGTAAGCAGAACCAGTGTTACGGAGCTTATTTCATTGTGTATATCATCTTCAGCATGAAAGAGTCGCCCGACACACTTGTAGATGTTTTCCTCTACAACAGACATATAAAGATACAATGTAGTCTAAAAAGTGAACTTTCATGAAAGGCTTTATCTTAGTAACTAAACATGTCTAAGAGTGGTGAAAAGTTCAGGGGGTGAAATGTCCAGGGAACTGGATGTTTTCAAAATAAAATATCCTTGGTTAGTATTATGATGAGTCAGTTATCCTTGCCACTTGATTTCGAGGTTGCATTCAAATCCTGCAGAAAAAAAGAAAATGCTGTAATTTTAGGCCACACCTCACCTGATATGACTGTTACATTGGGAACATTAGATATTGTTCCTTCTCCAGAAAGCAAAACTTCAAGCAGATCACTGTCAGGCACTTCTTCTATTGTGACTGGATCATCAATTGTTTCTAAAGGTGCTTCCATTTCAAAGTCAGTATACTCAATTGCCTCTTCAAGTGATGCAAACTTTCCATGAAAGATTGTAAACCCATCTAAAAGTGCATCAAATGGAATATTTATTTATTTGATATTCAGGCATAAACTTTATCTCAGCAACAATATTTTTAAGGTGTGTTTACAGTCAGTTATACATTCAAGACATATTTGTTTATTTTTGAAATTTGTGGTTTTAGAAACTGATGAATTGATAAATTAATAGGATGATCATTGAACATTTTGACTTGAAATAAATCTGTATGGTCAACGCTTATTTTTTAATAACTACTATATTGTAATACCCTTATAATTTTATAAAGAAAAGTCTTCTTTCTCAAGCATACCATATTGTTTCACATTTTCTACTTTATGTAGCATCCCTCCAGCTTGAGCACTTGCAATGATATTTCCAACTTGTATAGGCAGAGAGTTGTTTTGCTTAGTGAAGAACATGTTTGCATCAGTGCCATCCTTGTGTACCATACAGTGGTAGAATATGGCATCCTCAAGGGTTATAACTTTTACATTAGGTTTAATATCTGTGTACTTCATCCTGTCTGGGTCAGTGTAATCTGGCACAACCAAACCACCTGGACATTTGCTATCATCCCAAGACTTACATGTCTAACATAAGTACAACATAATTATAACATATGATGTAAGAATATCCTGTATATGACTTGATTTAGGTATCATTTTTAACATAGGCTCAAAACATTATTCTACACCCCATATTTTAATTTTGGGTGAAATCCACGTGGTCTTAATTTATGATTATTTCATCGTTTGTCAAAATTAATGTGTTCAGAATATGTAATAGAAATATTGATGGTTAAACTTGCAAAGTTTGTGTCCATGTTGAAACATTTCTCAAAGTCCCTGCATTGTTGGCAAAACATTCCTTTATAGGTATCCTTTGTGTTGTCACATCGTTCTGAGCAGGGGGCAGCCTGGAGTTGAGGATTTTAGGGAAAATTATTGAGAATAAGTAATCATAATCTGATAATAAAAGATTGTTCTTATATAAAATAATTTTGAGGTCTGAGAGATGATTTTTGACAGATTCTTTTTTCTAGCTCATAATTATCAAAAAGGAAAAAATATCCAATCAAATAACTTTTGCTAACCTTTATTTCTGGAGAACAGCCTGTACTTTTCTCAATTGTTACACAGTTCCAATAAAACCATGGCCCAGCCACAAGTGTGGTGTCAGGTTGGGTTGGGTCACCTGGGAAGCATTCTGGATTTGGTCCACCTGACCACCCACAGGCATAATCCTCTACACATGTCTGACATGTGTGATGATTCTTGAGACATTGGTTGATCTCACATGATTCTCCCTGCAATTAAATATACTTCATCAGCTTGTAAAGACAATATTCAGTTGTAATATAACATTAAAGATCTTGCATTTCATTATTTGAAAGATAACATGTTTGCTTCATGTTTAGCGTCAAGACAAAATATTTCTTTCATGGGTGAATATATCATTTTCTGGGCTTACCGACCACCCAGCTCTACACTTGCAGACATTTGGCTTGATGCATGCACCATGATCATAACAGTTATTTTGTTGGCTGCAGTCTGGCTCAGTACATTGTCTTCCTAGCCATCCTTGATCACACTCACACTGTCCTCCCACACACTCACCATGTATCGAACAGTTATAATCTCCAAGGCATGCCTTTTCTACAATACCATCAGTTGACATAATTCTTGTTGTTTTATCTTTTTTTCAATTATTCTGCTTTGAATAATTTTTAATCAAATAATTTTTAAGTAATGAGATTGTTTCATCTATCCAGGATTGGCCCTTTATATATATGGCCATCCTCATCACTTGTCATTTTAGTTTACTAATAATTATGTTGTAAGTGGATACCTTTGCAAGAAGGTAACTGTGAACTCCAGATTCCCTTTGGACCATTCCCTGTACATGTCATTGTTGATTCTCCAACTAGTTTATACATATCATCATCACATGCAAATACTATAGTATTGCCATATATGTTTGTTGTGGTTGAACCTTTTACAATAACCAGGTTGTCAGGAAGCACCAGATCAGGGCACGTTATAGCTGTAATTTCAACTTAATTGTATTTATTTTGTATTTTATTTATTTGGAAAATGTTTTGGGAAAATATTTTTGGATTTCATGTTGCTGTTTTATTGCCAAGCTTGTCATATGGTCTTATCTGAGATAAAATTTTGCTTTCATGGGATTTTTTAATCTCAGCCAACAAATCGTGAGGAATCCCAATTTTGTCAAGTATACTATTCCTGACCTTTACAAGATGGCATATCAAATTTCCACTTTAGTTTCTTTAAACATTTCATCACTTGAGATCCCTTGATGACGTAGCCCTCATCGCATACAAACTGCACTGTGTCACCTGCCTGGTAATGCCCATCTTTATGGAGGGTTTCTGGTGTGATGCGGAGTGCTTCGGGAAGGGTCGGGAGGTTAGGGCAGTTAAGCTGTACTGGTTTTATAGCTGAAATGTGCGTTGAATTTCATAATTATTCCAATGATCGTATTTATCTGCTTAAACATTAACATTTCATTTTTATTGTGCGCAAACTGGAATTTGCAGAATGAGATAATATAACTCATAGCTTGAACTAAAGCATTGTATTTTACTTTCAATACTCCAGAATGATTTCATGACTAGATAAGAAGCAATAAAAATAAATTTTTGATATTCAAAGGGTTTGTTTTAAATTATGGTCCAATACATCTCAACTTGACCAATAATACCACAACATTTCAAAGCATTCTTCAGTGTAGCAAAATGATAGTCCCCTAAGTATACCCACCTTGACATTTTGTATTTGGTCGTCGTGGTAACCATTGAACCCGTCTTCCCTTCTTCTTACAAGTTTTTGATTGTGGTCCAATGAGTTTGAATCCCTCTTTACAGGAATATGTGACCGTGCTTCCTACTGTCAGTTGGGTATAATTGGCATGCCCATTTTTCTGTGATGGCTTCTTGCATAATTTCTGGCTTTTTGCCATATGTGTGAGTAGCACACTCAGTCCAAATATACAAACCAACGTTTTCATATTCAGTTATTTTCTATCAAAATGCTCAAAATGTGGAAAGAACTTAATGAACCATGTTGTACTTATGTATGTAGTATATTTATAAAGTTGAATATAAAATGATTGAAACACAACCATTATTATGGTACACTGTCAATATAGAATAAATACAGGTTTATTTTAATGGCTAGCATGAACAAAACTAAAACCATAAACATTCTGAAATATGAATTTATTGAATTATTTTATGTTTTTTAATTCATATTTTTAGATTAATGTCTAACATTGTGTTGTGTCGAAGCAGAATTAACAATATGATAAAATAATAAAACACCACCCTTGCATTAAAATAACAAAGCAAATAAAATTGAAATAATCTGTTGTGTATGCACATACATCTATAATGTCTCTGTGTTATTTCTCTTTATGTTGAGATAAATTGAGGCAAAGGCTTTGTCACCAAGACTATATGATTAAATGACAGAATGTACAAGATGCTTTGATAAATATAATAAATATTATTTCACTATGATATGAAATACAGGGTGTCCCAGAACTCATGAGAATTTTTTGAGGGAGATATAAGGCATAGGTGATTTTTCTTCAAATTTGGTACACTCTTTAAACACACTTTGAGGAATAACTGACATGAATTTCAGGCACATATCTTTTATATTTTCGAATTTATTGACATTTGAATTCTACATCGCCACAAACCCTGGAGTAGTCAGAGAAATACAACAATTTTCGTCACATTTTGATAATATTTCTACAACTTCTCTACACTAATGGCATTGTTTTCATTGAATTATTTCAGCGTTTCAGTACATTCGTTAAAATGATCATACACATTCAACTAACGTATCTTTACAGAGTTATTATAGCATATTATCTGCAGTTGATGTCGTCTTTTCAGCTTCTCTTTATACACATTCCCAAATCGTCCAATAGCTATTTCTGTAGGGTCCTCTGAAACAACATGACTCAATTTTTCCTCCGTTTCAGTGACATAGCTCACTAATCTTTGTTTAAGGTCCCCAAAGAAATTGAAAGTCTAGTAGAGCAAATTCTGGCAAGTATATGGAGCTACTATATACTGTGAAGTCTCAATAGAAAGTAAATTGGATGCACTACTGACATGCATGTTGTGACTTATTCACTGGTGCATTGTCAATATGCAAGATCATATTGGCTAGCAAATGGGGACATTTCTTTCAGTCCCTCAGGAACATGTCATTATGATCTTTCAGCAAACCAAATGTACAATCTGTTGATGTATTGGGTCTCTATCAAAGTTTATATATCGTTTTATCAAAGTGCATCATCAATATGAGAAAAATGCTGAACTAAGCTTATACAAAAAACGTTGGTTTTATAGTTGAGAATTTGTATAAAATTGACAAAATGTGACATAAGCTGTTGTATTTTCCCGATAACTCCAGGGTTTGTGGCGATGTAGAATTCAAATGTCAATAAATTCGAAAATATAAAAGATATGTGCCTGAAATTCATGTCAGTTATTCCTCAAAGTGTGTTTAAAGAGTGTACCAAATTTGAAGAAAAATCACCTATGCCTTATATCTCCCTCAAAAAATTCTCATGAGTTCTGGGACACCCTGTATTATATTGCTTTCACCTGCTTTTATGATTCAATTTTAATGATTTAATGAATGATTCAGCTTATCACTAAATTTATAATTTTTTATAAGATGAATTTGTATGTGGCATTAAACTGCATTTGCAATTTCATTGATCAGAATTTACTAGATAATTTGACAAAATATATATGAATGTTTTGTATGAATGAAGTGAGTGGGATATTTTGTGAAGTGAGTAATATGATGTACATAAATTGTATTATGTGATTTTGTTGTATAATTGTTACTGAGTCTTTTTTCCTTCTAATTAATTTGCTCAAAACTATTGTACAGGTGTATTAAGTGCTTGTACACCTTTTGTTGGATTGACCAGTGATGATAATGATGGCATGTCTTTATCACCCCTCCCTAGTTCAGTTCTTTGGTTCAGCTCAGTACTGAATCTGGATTATAGAGGTTGGATGATATACCAATTTACCAAACACTGACACACAAGTCTAATCAATATGTTTTTTGCATCAAGAGTATGTGTCAATTAAAAGATGGTGTGCCTGATCACGCCTGGGTTGGACCAAATTTAATTTAGCAACAAAAAGTATTGCTTATGGAAGATAGTGATATAATATGGTATGGTTTTTTCAGAGATATTTCAATTTGTCCTGCTAAACTTGCAAAGTTAAATATGTTGTAGCGATATTTGGAATATTTAATCTAAAATGGCAATCACGAATGGATTTCTTTATACGATTTTAAAAGTATATTAAAAAGAATATGAGTCAAAATAAGTGAAAATGAGACTTGTATCTCAGTGAACTAAGATTGTTTGATGCAAATGGAAAAACACCAAGATCCACATTGCTGTAAGTATTTTAATAATTAATATTAAATTTTAAAATGCATATCACAATTTTTAAATATTTTAAAACATTTCAACATAATCACAGAGGATATTGTTGACAACTTTATTGCTAACAAATATTATTATACATATTATTTGTTTTGGAGCAGGAAAGTACAGAAATATAGTTCTAAAGTTTGGTTTCAGAGTTCAAGTCAATATTGCATTCTACTAAACTCATATTCCTTGATAATAACCATTCAGATCTCATTATTTTATTTCCAGATTTAAATCCACATACTCTGTCATTATATACGCATTACTACATGTAAAGTAAAATGTGACAAGAACAAGCTAGGAACCCCTTCGGTGTCAAGAGATCTTCAATGTGGAATTATTATTCATATTTAGAGAGAAGTAAACATTAACATTCCACCATATCGATACCTATCCTTTTATCAGCTTACAAATGTGAGAATATTGTAATTGTAATTATAAGTTACAGATGCAGTACTAATATGTTTTGGGCTACTTCAAATTCAAGGTACAATCAAATTGCTGTTCATTTTAACAGTTATAAAATATTAAAATCCATATTAATCATAGGCCATTGTAAGTCCACAACACCAACATAAACAATAACATTACATAAGTCCACTTGGAAGTTCATCATATACATGTAGTTTGGATGGTTTATTCTTTATAAATATGCCTCTGTGCATCTGCTGATTATCAAAGTTTATCATCTACAGGATTTGCAGATGCCACATGAATAACATTGGTGTTGACTTCTTTATTCTCTCTCTTCTGAAACTTCTTAATGATTTCCCCAATTGCAAACTGAACCAAATGTAAAACTGTCAGGATGCTGGCCCCAATGCACAATCCCATCTGACCTCCAACATCACCTACAAAGACACAGATGTACATAGTACATAGACTATTGTATTGTGTCATCCCCTCAAAAGTTTGGCAACTGGAGGTTCCCTCACAGACATCATATTTGATATCAGATGGTAATATATAAATGCTTCAATTGCATATTTTATTGACAGGTCTTATTCAAGTACAGTAAACTGATACTTGTTAAAAAACTATTATTGCCCACTAAGATTGTCATTTGAAATGATATAATTCAATCAATATCAATTTTTAAGTTGCTGTTTCTGTTATAAATACTTCTCATGAAAACAATTTTAACATGTGGCCCTGGGATACAACTTACTTAATAGTGACACACCAGGATATGCAACCGTCTGTTCAATGTACTGGTAATTCAATGAATCAAAGAAGAGGTTCACAACAAGAAGGTTTTTCCTATAATAAAATCATATGTTAGTACACGCAAGTAAAAGGGGAAACATTTGAGACCTGTTATGTCTTACATAATCCATTCATAAAAAATATCTTATTAGAATTCACTTGATTTAAACTTTGGAAGAGCTATAACTATTTCCATTTAGCCAAGGACTGAAATATGTGCAGTCACATAAACTGGATTTTTCTTGTAAGATAAATGCTTCTGTGAAAACGAACAAGTGAGTTTCAAATGTGATCTACAAAAAGGTAGTATGCAGGTGCATTTCATCTTGGTTCAATTCAATAATGCAACATAAATGTAAACAACTGCAGGCCTCCTAGACTTCCAACAACGCGAACATCAGTTCTGATACCGCGAACTACGTTCCTTGCACTCTAACCACGAATCTTATATCGCGAACGTGAAATCTTATGTCGCGCACCACCATTTCCTTGTTTCCAAACATATTTCTTGTATCTCGCACAGAGATCCGTTACCACGAACAATTTGTACATAATACATCCGGGTGTTTGGGATTCCGAGTTACATGTATATACCATGCAACGGAGTGAAACAAGGAAACGAAATTCAGTTTCTCCTCCGCTTTCGCCGTACTTTCGTTCCTATGAAAAGCATGCACTTGCATGTTAGATGACCCATTCGTCACTGTATTTTGAAACGTAATCTTAAGATTAACATCCACGCCCCGAGTTGGCAGGGCTTTAAATGATGTGTCAAAGGAAAGCACTGCGTCCCACAGTCATTCATTTTTGGGATCAGAGAGTATCTGCGCACGGTGTGGTGTAATGGGAGATGTCATTTGTAAAAGCGATATTTTTTTCCTTTTTATGACCGCCATTTTTTCAGACAAGTTTCTAAAAGTTTAAAGATTTTATCATTTAGAGCAATATATTGGGCACATTTTCTGAAAAATTCAAAAGACTCTGTTCATTGACCTTTCCTATGCTCCTACTTAAAGCTATTTACAGTGACCTTTTCAGAGGACTGAAAAAGTTATTTCATCATGTCTAAGGTCATTCTGACCATGGTCAGTGTGATCCTGGTCACACTGCATCATGCGACCTTTAACTACAAGGTTTACTTTTATACAGTACACCTACATTGTAGTAATCAGTTATGGCTGTGTTCTGTGTAGATGCACTGGCCCGCCCCACCCTCTGAGATGGGCCCAGAAAAAAAGGGTCCGACATTTTAGCGCTCCACATGTCTTGGGTCAGATATCGTCCTGGTTGCTGAAGTCAGGAATTTTTTGGGAACATGGGGCAAAACGGCCCTCATAATAGTTTGATCCGTGCAGAGGTTTTTCTAATCTGTCAATCATCGCGAACTTTCATATGTTCCATCTTATGAAGGGATTATATTTCACATTTTCTGTGATTTTTCAGAGTGTTCGAAAAATAATGTTGAGAGTAGGGCAAAATGGCCCATGCGTGGGGCAGAACAGCCCACAATGAAAGCTTCGGTTTTAAAACCAAGATTAATTAACTAAAGGACTCGTCAACACACATTTATTTCAGACGGTCAAAGATTAGACAGATAAAGTATTCTTAGCCCTTACCCTAAAATTGCGATTTAGTAGTCATTTGATATGTTTTGAAACAAAAACCAAGTGTTAAAATCTTTATCAGGATGATATTTACTGTATGTAAACAGTTAATCCCACAAGCCGTAATGGGGGAGGGGGCAACATTTAAGTTAAGTTTTCATCTAAAACGTTGACAGGCAAAGGGTAGCATCTTCAAATTATCAGTAGCTGGAGCGACAGATATAGCACATCAAGTATTCTATAAAATCAGGAATATTGTACATAGGGTAACTCATTTCTTTATTATGATGCAATCATCGGCTCAAATGGACAAATTTGGAAAAAGCTGGTAAAGAGAAAGAAGATATTCTGGATTTTGAAGCCCTGTGATCGGAAGATGTCACTAATTTGGCCATACGTGTTGTTACTCATAAGTCAGGTTTTTGTTGTTATTACCCAGCCCTTTCACTGAAAATGTCAATGCGCGTGATTGCAAGGTAGTCCCAATATTTTGTGTTCCCTAGAGCTTGAAAATACTGTTATCGTCAATGATTGGATATTCATTCACATGCATGAAAAACTGGGAAAATATTTCCTCCGCATTCCACATGAAAACACCTCTTTGGAATTAAACTTATGCGTAATAATACGAACAAAATTACGGACTTTTTTCGATCAGATGCGTGGTTCGCGGTAACGGATCTTTGTGCGCGGTACAAGAAATATGTTCGGAAACAAGGAAATGGTGGTGCGCGACATAAGATTTCACATTCGCGATATGAGATTCGTGGTTCGAGTGCAAGGAACGTAGTTCGCGGTATCAGAACTGATGTTCGCGTTGTTGGAAGTCTAGGAGGCCTGAACTGTACATTTATAATCACAAAGCATAAGCAGAAAGAGCAAGAGCTAGCAAATACACATTAGAAAACTGAATTGAAACATGTGCAAAAATAAAACTACAAGCTATAAGCATTACTCAATGAACTCCACTGACTTAAACTCAGTCAGATTTATGTTGCTTGAAGTGTGGCCATGTATCATCTCAACTGCACTCTCACGAAGCTTTACAGAGGATATAGAGTGTTGAAACTGGGTCAGCTCACATGGGTTCTGACATACACATGTGTCACTCTCAGTAATCGACTCTACAATGATAATACTTTTAATGTTTATTCATTGCATTTCTCACAATTTAAGGTGTTTCTAATGTTAATGGGGCTGATATGGTAAATTGTTTATATCACAATAGGAAGTCAAATCTATGTATTGTCTTCCCGACACGATAGAGCATTAATTAATTCCTCATTTTGACAAGCCATGGGATAAATATAATCATACCTAATGTTGGCAGAGCACAGTCATGATATTCCTCAGCAGTACAAACACGGATACCATGATCACCATGCATCTCAACAAGCCTACATGAACATTTCTCCTCAACTATTAATGTCTCGCATTCAATTCTGCACGCAGGAATGCTGTAATGATCATAATGGTCAAGTTTGTGGTCCTCTTCGCAGTTGCCATAAGGGTCTGGTAAGCTTGTCACCTGAAACATTCTACATTTATATGATCTGTCCCCATTGGATAGCATGTTATTGTTTTATTTACAGTACCTAACATCTAGCATAACATTTATATGTTTACACACTAAATGGATATACCATAGATTCAAAAATGTTCATTTTCTTGAAGAGAAAAGATGCTTCTTACATGTATGTCTGTTTATTATCATTGGTAACACTGATTTTGTGTTTGTGTCTTAAGTAACAGGTGTATATAAATATTTACTTAGTTATAGATTGGTGGAATAAATATAGATTCAAAACATCATTAAACAGAGAAGTTGCTTTGTTACATTATTTAAAGAGCTAAACATTCTGATTTATTGACTATCCAAAGAACTATGATATTTTTGCTTGCATTTTAGTGCTGATCTTTTGAAATATAGTGCTCATATACACTGCCATCTTTTAAGATTTCACACAGGAAATGATGTCATTTTCTTTTCTTGCCCACAACAGTATAGGAAAGTAGTACCAAATCACTTCTAGACAATTGGTCCTTATAATTCTTGTGCAAAACAAATGATAAATGATAGATGTAATTGAAAAATAATATTCAGTGCAATTCAAGATTTTGTGCTTCTTACATGTGCTTCCCTAGTGCAATTAAGGGTTGGTGATATTACTTCCTTTGTGAAAACCTAGAAGATGACGGCCCACTTGAGTTGAACAGTACATTTCCTTTAAATATTTGACACTATAAATTGTTACCCTTTCTGTTTCCAATGCAATAAAGTAGTGGTTGCCAGTAGTCACTCCAAATCCCAATTCCTGTATAAGTGGTGGTTCATCCTGGTCATGTGCCAGAATTTTAAAGCCAAGGTCTGAAGCTTCCATGTAGTTTAGGTACTCCAGTTCCTCTACATTTAGATAAAGTTTCAAACCATTTGCTTTACCTCCTTTAAATGACTGATGTTTGACACCATCCTTGCCAGAATTGAATTGATAGCATCGCCCATAGTGAGTGTTAATCAAGGTAAAGTTAGCAACAGAACACTCCTGTTGTTTCCATTTGCAGTAGATGAGCATATCCTCTATCTGGTGTCCTGCTCTTTCATACATCTCCTCCATGCTGTGATTGATGGAACGGTCATGGATCTCCACATCTGTCCAATTGATACTGTAAACCCAGTCATCAAAGGCTTTATCATAGTGCTCTGGGTGAAGAAGGGTCCAGTTCTCATCAAGAATGTTCAGGCTTGTTCCATAGTGAAGGAGGTCATACTCATTTAATTTGTGCCTTCTAAATGTATTGATGTTGCAAATTGTGATTGTTGGGAAATCTGAAACACAATCAGATGTTTTATTGTACTTTGTACCACAGTTTCATCAAAGGCAATTTCATTTGTAATGTCCTGAGAGTATACCCCTAGAAAAAAACTAATGATTGATTGTATTTTATTTAATACAGCAACAATGTTGACACAATTGCATGTTAGGCTATAACCTGATTATAACATTCCCAAAAGAGGTTAAATAACCTTCCAGCAAACAAAGACCCTATTTTCATCTTAAGGTGAATTTTTATTGGTTCATGAAGCACATACATCATGTCATATCATCATTTCCTATTGGTCAAAATACATTCATTGATCATTACACAAACAGAAACAAAATGACAGCTCAAAATTTTGGAAACATGATTTGACCAAATGAATGTTGGTTTCCAGAATAATAAGTCATCAATGTGAATTCAGATCAAACCCATGACAAAGATGTATGTAAAGGGGTATCTCCTCTCATTTACAGTTTGAGTTACATATGTCATTGACTCAGTTGTTGTTAAAAGGATATTCTAGTACTACCTGGTTAAATTTATCATGAAATGTTCAAAATAAGAAGTAATTTGATAAATGTGTTTGTTTAGTGTGATTAAATACTGCTTGATGGAGTTGCTGTTTTGCCTAGTTGGAATCTAGTGTGATTTATTGCATGCTTTTTCAGTTATTGGATATTTTAATGGATATACCCAATATTCTGTTGTGCCATAGCTATGTGTGGGTATTAATGGGTATTAATGGGTGTTATTATGTGATATAGGATAAATAATGCATAATGTGTCAATGTGTTATCAATTAATCTGAAAGAGAGCTATGTGGTATGTAATTTTACCTAAAGTATGAAATATTAATTGCTGATTGATTTTTTACATTAATTACTTTTTAAGTGGTATGGATTTGGTTTTGCAAAAGCTTAGGCAAATTTCTTCATTGTGTCTACATGATTATTGAACATTGTGTGTATGGTTGCTATTTGAATTATTGCTGTTATTACCTTCAACTGGTAATATATTGTTATAGCCAACATTTCTGTGATTTGCATTGTTGTCAAGATTGACATTTTGGAATCTATATCAAATGGTTACATTTTTGTAATTGAAACCAGGGGGTGCTTAAATATGGTGAATTTGTGTCACATCATTTTTCACCAATATTAATCTAACTAACTGACAATATTTATCCAATTAAAAAAGAGAGTATTATAAAGTATATGTACCAATCAATTGTTTAATAAGATACTGTTTTTGCCAAATCAGACACCATACACTAGTTGTTTTAATAATTTGATGGCAAAACTAAAATTGCTCAGGTTACAAGCCCATTTGTAGCTTTAGTTTTTTGGTGTAAGTTAGTATAATTGGCCTATGGATTTTCATTGTATAATGTACTTAAAAATGCAGCAAACTAAATTAAAAGAAGGAAATAATTTGCCATGGGGTCTCCATTTACTATTTAAGAAATAGATGGATATCAGGAATATTGATAAAAAATTTCTCAGTTGATGAAATTGTTAATAACTTGTATAGATTGGTTCCTTATACAGCTTCGCATTCCAAATGTTTCATAATCTAGAATAAATAAACATACTTCTTACACCCTACCAAAGTCTCAATGAGTTTATTGTAAACAGTAATATGGCTATTATTGTGGATGAAATTTCTTTGTAAATAAAGTAAATGGACTGAATTGATTTTTTTGTTTGGTCATCACAATAGCTTAACGCTTTTGTGTTTCAGACAAGACAAGTACAAATACTCAAAACACTTAACTTGTCTTACAATATTAATAAGCTGGATTCTAAGATATCTTGAGAGTTATCTAAAATCCTTGATTTACATAAGTAAGTTCTATCATACCATTCTAAAATTGTTGATTCATACTATTTATAATGTAGATTTGAAAATGTGACATACATGTATTTATATTATTGATTTGGAATTTCATGTATTTAAAGACGTTTCTTTGTATACGTACAACTGATAAGATTAAGTTTTGGGGCATTTTGGGTAAATTTTAATTAATTTTGAATTTTCCATCTTAAAATCTTGTCTGTCTTTGCAAAAAAGTCTACAATTACTTAGTCTTAGGGCATTCTGGGTGAATATTTAGGTTGCGATTTTGGACTTCTTGTGCTGAAAACTAGTACCATAACACCATTTGAGCCCAGTTCCCATGGTCCTATTTCTTTATCATTTTGTTGGCCTTTAATGATGACAAAATAAATTGTTCATCTCAATCTATGAAATAAACATTTTGATTTAATAAAAGCATTTACAGTTATTCTAGACACCTGATGATTCTGCATTCTGTTAATTCAGCTTGTCCCAATGATTATACAAGATTCCAAAATCAGAATTTTGCGATTTCATTGTGTAACATTATCCCTTGGTTACGTAATTGTTTCTTTTGTATATAATCATGCAAGCTCTTTATCGATGGATAGCCATCTCCCCATTCCATAAAGTTTTGTTAAAGTTTTGTTAAAGTTTTGTTCTTTGGATATAAATCCAGCTTTTCAGTAGATTCTGTTGATAATATGTTTGTAATTAGGACTAATCCTAATGGGTGAAGTCTTGGTTCATAATGTAATATACAGTATATTTCCTTTGGGAGGTTCATTTAAGGTGAATCATCACTCATGTGTCCATGTGTCTGTTAACAACTGGCATGTTTTGAAACCTGGGTTGGTAGGATTCCTGTTTTAAGTTATTTTAGCTCATCTTGAAACAGAAATCCCCCTGGAGTCCCAGTTCAAATGCTCTCCTATTTTCAAAATGGCTGCCATTTTATTCATGGAAAATTCACTTTACAGAATTGGTTATTGTAAATAAATGTCAACTTCCCAGAGACAAAGAGTTATTACTTTATTATATAAAGGTAAAGGTCTACCAATGGAATGTCTACCAAGTTGAAGACTAATTCATTAACAAACACTGATTATAAAATTTTAGCAAAATCATTAGCAAATAGGCTCAGGAAAGTGATTGGAAAAATAATTATTCATGACCAATGTGGATATAGACCAGGTCGCGACACCAGCTATACTGCTCTAAGAGTAATTGATGATGTAATAGAACATTTATGTAACAATGACGATGACTGTGTCTGTGTACTTGTAGCACTGGATTATTCCTGTGCTTAAGATAGTTTAAATAAAGAGTTAATGTGTGACACATTCCAGATTTTTGGTTTTGGCCCCGATTTTATTAAATGGATAAAAACACTGAATTCAAATGGGCTAACGGGAAGCTGCATTAATTATTAGCTCACATGGTGACTTTAATATTAATATGGGTTAAAACCTATAATAAATTAAATACTGGATATGACAAATAAATAAAATTAATTATAATCTACCTACATGATGTAGATATCCAAATGTTGGACTGAATTTATCTTTGTGGAAAGATTGTATGCTTCAGTTGCTCTTTAACAAAACATGTAGGACAGTGTATCTATATATTACAAGTCTGTCTGTCTGTCTGTCTGTCTGTCTGTCTGTCTGTCTGTCTGTCTGTCTGTCTGTCTGTCTGTCTGTCTGTCTGTCTGTCTGTCAACAATTGGCCCATTTTAAAATCTCTGTCAATAGCATTCCCATTTTAAAGGGACATTCCTGGCCAAACATTTTCTATCCTGATGTGATAGCTATAATCATATACATACTTTCCATATTTAGCAAAACATGGGGAAATGTTTAATATAGTCAATATTGATAATTTAAAAATGTAGTGCTCATTTCCAGTAAGCTGCCATCTTTTAAGATTTTACTCAGGAAGTGATGTCATCGACTCTCAACTTTCATGACCTTGCATATAACATTATAGGAAAATAGCACAATATCACTTCTAGACGAGTGATCCTTACTTTATGCGCAAAAATATGTTCAGAGCTTGTCAGTTAAGAATAAAAGAAGAGACTTTTAGAAGGATTAAATCATAGACAAAATTGAAAATGAATATTCAGCTGGTTCTTAAAATAGCTCCTTATAGTGTTATATGCAAAGTTGAGAGTCGATGACATCACTTCCTGAGTGAAATATTAAAAGATGGCAGCCTACTGGAATTCGGCACTACATTTTCAAGTGATCAATATTGACCATATCAAAGCATTTTTCCCTGTTTTGCTAAATATGGAAAGTATATATAGCTACCATATTAGGAGAGAAATGGTCTGGCCAGGAATATTCCTTTAAGTTATTTTTAACATCAATATAACCCCCCCCCCCCCCCCCTATGACTCCTGGCTCAAAAGCTCGCCTATTTTCAAAATGGTTGCTATTTTTGTCTCACGAAATTCACTTTTGGCCCATTTCCTAGCTTTACAAATAATTTCAGGTATCCTGCATTGTAAAAAGCCTTGCCACTGTAAAGAGTAGTTGTATGAAATAATTTTGTTACAAAAAATCGGCAAAAAATTATATCCATTTTTTTTATTTTGAGCCATTTTAGTTAACATTGATTTGTCCATCTGTCTCGCGAAATCCACTTTTTGGACCATTTGCCTTAAACCTCTGTCAATAGGATTCCCGTTTCATATAATTCTAATTATATAAGATCAAAATTTTTGATTTATGTATTAAATGAAAGCAAATTGATTTACAAATACAGTATTATTGAGTTACTCACGTCGAGAGCTACCATGTTACTGTTAGATTTTGAAAGTATAGCTCTCCATCGTGAGGATCTCCCAGCTGAAGAATTGTAACATCTTAATTTGATCAGCGCCAGTCAACGGCTTGCTGTTTGTCTCAAACTGTAGCCTACATATGGGCTCATATGTGTCTACTTTCCCCGTGCATGTAGGATCGCGGATGTGCTTCTATGGCGATCAGGAGTTCTAATCGTTTTTTGTTCGATACCCATTTCCAATATGGCGGTTAAACGGAAATACTATCGACGCATGCGCAACTTGGGAAACGTCAAGCCGCCATATTGAATATACCTGGCCAAAACTTTTGACACGACCAATAAAATGAAGTCCTGATCGATACATAGGGCAGTGAGACGTTCTATAGTTGAGCTGAATGAAAGATGGCGATGTAGGATACATTTTCAGGTATATAATGTGCAACATGAGTCAGCTGAATTCCCTGAAATTTTCTTTGAAGTCAGGATTCTTAAGCTGTTGATCCTAGCGATAGAGAGCTATACTTTCAAAATCTAAGTAGCTCTCGACGGGAGTAATTATTGAGTACTTTTACTATTTTAATAGGTATTGATAATATAGCCTAAATAATGTAGTGAAGTCTGTATCAAATAGTTGAACATTTACTCATTTTCAAGACATTTTGGAGATAATGCCTATTTAAGCCTAAAATTGTCATGAAATGGTCAATAATAAAGTTGGCAAATAATTCTGGTCCAAAAAGACACAAGACTTAGTTTTTGTATGGATTAAGATATATTGCTGTTGATAACATTGCTAATATTAGCTTCATTTCCCTATTATTTCCCAATATGTAATTGTTAATTGACTCGAAATACCCTTTGTTGCAGAATGTTGCTAAGAGTATAGCTCAAATACAAAATATTTGGAAAGAAAGAAGAATGGCATTTGAGAGATTTCCAAAAGTTATGTATTAATATATGTAAAAAAGTCACTATGGTAAATTTTGTTGAGACGTGTTTTGAGATTTTCAAGAAACACTCACTAAATTGAAAAATACTTAATTTGTTAGCCTAGACAATGTTATTTTGTTCTCTCAAGTTGAAGTTATGCCAGACCAGTATCAGATGTCATTGTCACCTACTGTAAATAAAAGATGCTATATATATATATGCCTCTTGCGTTTGTTGAAATCAGCATAGAATATAAGAGTTAAATGCTTTTTTACTTACAGAGAAGATAGATCATTAGAAAATATGATAGAGATCAATAGCAAAATTTTTATTATTAAATGAAAAATATGGTTAAATTTTTTTTTTAAACAAAATAAGGGGTGTCAAGAATAAATCTTAAACTGAATGCTTTTGCAAATTTTACCCCTCTTATTTTGAAAAAATGTAACTTTTGATACATTACATTAAAACCTGAAATGATGTATAAAATATATGAACCTTTTGAATATTTATTATATATTTTGTTTGAAAAAGAATTAAACTTTTAGTATTAGTGTTTTGAATATTTATCTATTACAGTGTCTGAGGTAAAGTAGAAACTAAATAAACAATATGCATATTTATTAGAGTCTGCAATAAAGTAAAAACTATATTAATACTTTGAATATGTTTTTACTGTATCTGAATTAAGGTATAAACTGTATAACCCTTTGGAAGCCTTTGTTGTAATTACAGAGCTGCAAAATGAGAATGTTTCTATAATCTGATTCTGTCTTAACAACACTTACCTAATGAAGGGACATAAAGTTTATCAATTTTGGTTATATGCGGGAATTGATAATAATATATAATTCGATCATGTATCTGGTAGGTCAGCCAACTGCATCCACATAGAAACAGTAAAATCCATGTCACTTTTGTCACAATTGAATTATCTCTAAACAGATGTCTTACTCCATGAAATTCAACATCTTCGCCAAATTCCTTTAGTCTTGTTGAAAATGAATGCTCAATGACAGGATCAGTTTGTTTTTCCTTTGTTTCAGTCATAACTTCCATTTTTTATTATGAAATCATCTTATTTTTGTAACTTTTCTGTCTTTGAAACTGCATCTCTGTCAACTGTTTTACCCTAAACCATTATATATTGTAAGTCATATCATAACTTTCACAGCATACACAGGTGTCGATATGACATAATAGAAAGGCATTAGGTCGTATTATATTCTTGCCTACTAAATCAATAGAGAACAATTAAGGACAGTGTATAATGAGAAATTGCACCAATCGTGGAACCTTATAGAAGAGGTAACCAAAAGTATTGAAACCCAAGTAAAAGTTCCTGTTTAAAACTCCTATTCTAGCAAATTGAAATTGATTTTAGATCAATTTTGTTATTCTGAGAAAATAGGGATTTCAGTAAGGGTGTAATGTTAAGTTTTTAAAAGTGTGATTTTTTTTATCCCACACACTGAAAATAAAGTGCAAAGCCTCTTCTGTAGTGGGCTATAGTTCATTTTATGGTATTTTTCAATTCATATTTTTTCCTCAGCATTGACTTAACATTGGGATATCATCATAATTCATATCCCCATGATGATAATCCCCATGTTATTATCATGGGAATATCATAAGGTTCTCATTATCTCAGAACACTGGTTGATTGAGTCTCAACCAGTAGAATTATGTTGCTGGGTATATGTATTTTCAATTTTGCTTGATTGGAATAGGTGTTCTAACAGCAAGTTTAGATTAACTGAGGCTTTTGGTACGTTGCATAGTTACATAGGATTCCAAGACACATTTTAATTGATTGGTTAAAAGATCAAATGTTTCATATTGATTCATTAAACGAAAAATAAGGCTAATATACTGATATATAAATTGTTTTCATGGTAACATATTTTCATCCAGTGATAGTTTAAAATGTGATAATAATAATAATTTATTTACAATGTTGTTAATGTATTGTTTTCATGTTGAAATGTACTTTTTATTGTGTTTTCCAGCAAAATTAAAGAAAGTGTACTACCTTCCGATAGAACCTGAACTGTATGAACCAAAGAAGTTTATAGATAGTGACAGGAAAGCTGTTGATAAACTTTATAGGATCAATGGACTTGGACTTTCTAATTTTATCCCCAATGTCAAGAATCTCAAGGGTTCCACATCTAAGATCACGATTCAAGATTCAGAGAGGCAAACATTAATTGATGTCAGTAGTATGAAGTATCAACTAAAGAGGGAGCTGTTGTTTGATGAAGAATTTCACAGAGATGAGGAAGTTAATGAAGGAAAATGGAAGGCGGATCATCTTGCCCAATGTATAAAAGACTTTTCAAGGTATGTTTTGTCATAAAGTCGGTAAAAATCTAGTGTTTGTTTGATGTTTTCCTTTAAACTGATCGCCTAGTTCAGTTAAGAAAAGCTATACTATACATGTAGTTCAATTCCTTAATAACTAAAACTTTTGTCCTAATGATTTTACTGTTTCATTGGAGAGGTGGGAGGATTTGACATGCTTAACTGTTTCAGTACCAGGGAACTAACTTAATAAATTACAATTTTATTTCAAAACATTATATTGTATTTATTGAAGAATAACAAGACTTGATTTCAAACTGCATCAAAAGTTATTCTAGAACAATGAAGCAGGATATGAATAATAAAATAAATCTGCATGAAAAAATAAATTTGAAATTGTCACCTAACTTTTAATGCACATTATTTTTTATTCAAATTAAAAATGTTTCTACAAATTGTCAATCTTTAGGTTGCTTCCCTCCCTCTTGTGAAATATTTTCATATCCGGGTTTCACACCTGCTCTTTTGGTGGGAGTTTCAGTTAATGTTAATTGATATATCTTTATATATATTTTTAGGGCTGGTCAGTGGTTATCAGATGTAACTTTTGGTCAACTACCCAAACATTTACACTTTGCTGGTTTGGAAGATAATAGGTCAGCAAAAGCCATGCATACACTAAGAATGGCAAATATACTGGTTCAGAGGACAGGTATCACTTCTTTCCAATATTTCAAGTTTCAAGCCGATTGTTTTTTATGCATATACTGTAAATTGCTTTAATTTGGCGCTTATTTAATGAGGCGGATTGGGTTGCTATTTAATATGGCAAAAAGCGCAGATATTGACTCATCAGTAAAATATGAATATTGGAAGGCTAGCTGGCATGTTAAATGGCCAGGTAACTCTTGGGTGACATAGGAAGGTTTTACCTTCATATATGAGCTAAAATGTAAAAAATAGGGTTATAATCAAAATATTGAAAGACTTCTCAATGAGACTTATTCAAAAAACTGGTGGAATTAATTTGGCGGCTTTTGTCAATCCTCCAAATCAGCCCAATTAAAACGGCTGTCAAATGCAAGCAATTTACAGTACATATAATGACAATCATGCTCTTGCATCCTTGCGCACCATGCATTCTTACCTTGCAGTCCCATTTTACACTTTACATCAAAACATCATCCCACAAAGACTGGCTATCAATTTTAAATTTATTCTTCAACATGTGTTGTAATTTGTAATAGCTTCAGTATGAATAAAATTATTATCCCATCGAACGAAATTAGGAGAGATATAGGGAACGCCTACAGTATGTCCGTCCATCTGTCCGTACGTCCGTCTGGGCAATAACTCAAATACTGTTGGCCCGATTTTGTTCATATTTTGTACACATATACCCAATGGGAGTAGAAGTTCTGCTTGAAAACTGATTTTAAAAATGGCAGCTCATTTAAAAATGGGGGCCATTTAATGCCGATTTTACAGTAATTTAGGTGCAATATGTAAAACTGTAATAGCAATATGTTTTAAATGTAAAAAATTATATAGGACATTAATAAAGCTAGAAATGTAGATATTAAAGAAGCACATGGCAGCCATCTTGAAAAATGGCATCCTTTACTCGTTATTTTACGATTTTTGCTGTAACTCGAAAAGTAGGGATTTTGTTCATCTTTGGTATCTGAATACTATATGAAAAATGGCCACCATTTTAACATATTTTACTATAACCCAAAAAGTAGTGGAGCGATTTTGTTCATAGTTGGTATGTGAATACTATAATCATGGCACACTGTCTATTGACACTTTAAAAGGAAGGTAGAAGGTGGCCATTTTGAAAAATGGCTGCCATTTTTGTTACATACTTTGTTTGTAATAATGCCAGCCATGGCTGTTCAATGGGATATGCTATGCTTTGGCGTTGCTGTTGTCTAGTTGGTGTTATTGTCTTGGATTGTGGTGGAACTTGAATTGCGAGAGGGGGCTATAAGACACTGTTTCATTTCATGTTGGATTATGATTTGGGATAGGATTTCTTTTCCTTATGGCTGGTTTAATTTAATGGTAATGCACACTTAAGAACATGGTTTAATAAATTATTTTTTTCATTGCAATCTTTTTTCCAGCTTGTAATAACAGTATGACAGTATTTTCTATGAAGTCAAATTCTAAATACTTCTTGCAGGGCGTGTCGGAACAAAAATGTGTGATTTGCTTAACCCATAGTTACACAACAATCGTGTCATCATCATCAGAGAAAAGAGATCTGTATTAGTATGTCTTCTAATCAGGGACCTGGAATTCACATTCATCTGTGTCCAGTTGGTCCCCATAAGATATTGTAAAATTGTATTTTTCTAGATGACCCCAAAACAGGAGTGGGTGCAGTCATTACTAAGGGAGAGTCTGAGAATGAGGTGTACTGTGGCCTGGGGTGGAATGGTTTCCCTCAAGGTGCTCAGCATTCAGACTATCCCCGAGCTGCAGAGAAAACAGACGTGCACCATGAGAGGAAGTACCCATATGTTGTGCACGGAGAAATGAATGCATTATCAAATGGGTAATGCTTGCAATTGTTTAATTTGATAACTTTAGTACTGGCTGTAATGATACAGTTTTACCACGGGGTGCCATCGAATAATTTTGGCAACGTACCGGAGAACGACATTTTACTAAGAAATGGCAATAATTTAGCACAATATATTTTTAACCAGAGTTCTATTTTGATTTTGACAAAAGTAAGTATTCCATGCAATAACTATTTCATTCATGAGTTTGTAGGAATTCTGTTGGAACCCAGTTCTGATCAAGTACGAAGTTATTGAAATCGGCGCAGACGGACTTTACTCCGAAAGATGGTTTTTCGATTATAACTTTTCACAACATTTAGGTATAGACTTTTGAAAAAAGTACAGAATAGTCCTTATACTTTTGAATAATTCTGTTATTTCTGATTCACACGACTCTGATTTGTTTAATTAAAAAAAAAGTTTTAAAAATATTACTTAGGAACGTAACCGGAGCTGGGAACGTAACCGGAGCAGATCAGTTGAATTATTTAATCAAAAAAATTAAAATATATGATTTGTAACATGGTCATTTTCACATTGTTTATAATTCTACTTTTCATATTGACCAATCCCCATCCATGTCATTTTAACAGGTCCCTTCATTACTTTACACCAGTGTTTCAAATATTTAATTCCAATGTTTTCAATTCTTTTGTATACTTTCTACTATATCTTCCTTTATTTAAAGCAATTTTTAGCTTTTCATGGTGTGATTGTTTCGTACTGTTTTTGTATTCCATATAATAGCATTCACTCACATGTACATGTGCATCAAGATGGCCAGACTTCCGGTGATAGATTTTCGTACGATATTTTGTTTCCCCAATTAAACCCATTTCTAGGACGAGTTGCTCAATAACCATACACATGCAGTTAGCGCACGATCTATATTTAAAGAAACTGTCATTAGTATACATGTACCATCACCAAGAAGCAATAAGTTCACGGTTTTAGTTCCTCACTATTGATGCAACAACACCAACCCGAAGATGCAACAACACTCCTCTAGATTTGAGCAATGATGCAGCAACACCAATTAATATTATAATTTCAGAAGACCATAAATCTCGAGAGGAACAGATTTTTAAATGCTACTATTGCAATACCGTTACCAATTAGCCTACCCATATTTGCGTTCTTCTCAAGGCATTCAATATTTTCAAACATTTATACTTTTACATATTATAATGTACTGGACGTTATTCTATAACATAGTTCAATCGCCTTTAACATGACATGCTTTAGTAACCCAATCTATTTTCATAAACCACTGTTCCATAGCTTGATGAATCTGACTCCAGTTAGTATCATTCAAAATGGTGGACAAACATCTTTCGTTCTCGGTAAACATGATGAGCTATTGGATATTATCATGATATTATCTGTCATCCATCTGTGGAACAGTGATAAACTAGTAGATGTACGTTACCACTGTTTATCAAATTATAACTAAAACAGTTTAACTGTGACATTCGTGAGCTTATGTTGATGGGATGATTGCTTCATCTAAGATATAATATGATATGATTCGTGTAAAAACGTCTAATTGACTTTATTAGAGAGGCCGTTTAGTTACACGTTTAATGGAAATCTTGCACGACGCACATGTAGAATTATTGCTCTCTTTGGATTCCTTCTCTCCGACTGAGTAAAAGGTAAACAAAAGTGATAAAATTTAGGGCCCAAAAAGGTAAATTGATAGGGGTACAGTTATCCCAGATATCCCGGGCCCTCGGGAAATATCACATTGTCTCTCGAAATAAAACCAATATTGAGTCCCTCTCAGTAAATAACTTTTATATAATAGCATTGTTACTGTATAACTGCAATATCACTAAACCAACACTCATCCTATACAACTCTTGAGAACGATGTACAACTCCTGGATAGCGTAAACTCCTGAGCAGCGTATACAACTCTTCAACTTGATATATGACATCATACTTTGGGTGGGATAACAAAGGATATACAATATACAATTGTAGACCCCTCTTGAGGTCAACTGGCAAAACTGTATACCGATACTGTGAACCTTGAAAGTACTGTTGATCAAGACCAGATGTCGAGGACACTTTTGCCAGTTGACCGAAAAGAGAGGTTAACAATTTTTCTGTTAGTCCAAATAATATAATAATTGGACGAATATATAATCGAATATCACGTGAACATATTTGATAAGTAAAGGTATCATATTTTAGCAAAAAATCCCCAAACCGTCGAATACTTGTAATTTTTTACACAACTTATTTTTTCAAAATTAAAAAAATTTCAACATTAAAAAAAACAATTTTTCAAAAATAGGGGTCAACAGTACCTAGTAGTGGTCAACAGTTTACAATTGTTGACCTCCCCAGAGGCCAACCGGCAAAATTGTATACCGAGACTGTAAACCGAAAAAATACTGTTGACAGAGACCGAAGGTCGAGGTCAACAGTAGTTTCAAGGTTTACAGTCGAGGTATATGATTTTGACGGTTGATCGAATGGAGAGGTCTACAATTGTTTTGTTAGTCCGAGTAAACTAATAATACACATATAGACGACGATCATCAATCGGCATGGCTTCATTTCACCGCCTTTTCTCCGAACCACGTTAGCAATATTTTTTTTAGAAAATATGGAGACAGTGCAAGAAGCTTAACTCTGTATTTGGCACATCACGGCGTACTCGTTAGTGAATTAATGTTAATTTTAAGTTTCTATTTGTATTTTTGCTATACTTGTCGCCTAGTAAAGTCATTTTCATCAACATTTACAAAATGTCCGTCTTCCATGTTTTTTTGTGACGTCATGAAACTTTTTTTCAGAAGTAGCGGTCAACAGTACCTAGTAGTGGTCAACAGTACATAATTTTGACCGCTAATCACCCAATCAGAATCGAGTATTTCAGTTGAGGTACTAACAATACATTTTGTTAGTACCTCAGTGTAAATACTCGCATCTGATTGGTCTATTAGCGGTCAACATTTTTGCCTGTACCTCACTTGTGCATCATGGGATATCATATTATTGACCGCGTATGTTACTGTACTACACTTGTGAATTATGGGAAATATGACGTCACAATGCTGACAGAAAAAAAACATGGTAGACGGACATTTTGTAAACGTGATACTTTTCTACACGACGAGTATAGCAAAAATACAAATAGAAACGCAAAATTAACATTGATTTACTAATGAGTACGCAGTTATGTGCCGAAAACAGAGAGTTTAGCTTCAACTGTCTTCAGATTTTCTTAAAAGATTATTGCTGGCGGGGTTCGGGGAGAAGATTATGAAGCCATGATTGATGACTGTCGTCTATATGTGTATTATTAGTTTCTTCTGACTAACAAAACAATTGTAGACCTCTCCATTCGGTCAACCGTCAAAATCATATACATCGACTGTAAACCTTGAAACTACTGTTGACCTCGACCTTCGGTCTCTGTCAACAGTAGTTTCTTGGTTTACAGTCTCGGTATACAATTTTGCCGGTTGACCTTTGGAGAGGTCAACAATTGTATATTGTTGCCCGCTCATCAACCAATCAGAATTGAGTATTTCAATTGAGGTACTAACAACACAAAATGACTGATATCTGTTGTCTTTCCAAAATTATATTAGTTATTTGTAAGCAATTTCCATACGGTAAATCAAGGGCATTTAATTTAGAAAATGTATAATCTTTACTTTTCAGATACAATATCAATGAGATTGCCTCCCGGGGATTCTATACTTTATTTAGTTTGCCTTGTATATCCTTTTAACTTTGATATAGACAAAGAAACCAAACAAAATACGTTTCGTTCATGGACCACTGACTCACGCGTTTTATTCATGTCCCGACCTACACCTGTAAACAGAACATAAAACAGTTTCTCTTGTTGTTCAATGATACGTACATTATATTGGCGTTTTTGCATCAGCACATTGGTGTTGTTGCATCATCGATAAGAAACAGAGTGGTGTTGTTGCATCAATAGTGAGGAATTAAAACCACGAATTTATCGCTTCTTGATGATGCTACATGTATACCAATGACAGTTTTTTAAAATATAGATCATGTGCTAACTGCATGTATATGATTATTGAGCAACTCGTCCTAGAAATGGGTGTAAATTGGGAAAACAAAACATCGTACGAAAATCTATCACCGGAAGTCTGGCCATCTTGATGCAACAACACGGTGTTGTTGCATCACGATACCCCCCAGTGATGTAGCTGAGTTTGGGTGTTGGCCCAGCCTAAGTAGTTGCTTAGAGTTAGATGATAATGTAGATTGTACAGAGAACGTTTGAAGTTTATTTGAAATAGACTATTTTATATATTTTAACTTTAGTTATCTGTTACTTTTATTTGCCACCCACGGGCCTTACACTCGCCTTGTTACAGATTTAAAGCACATATACTAATTTAAAAACATACGGGATTGTTCGAATGCGTATGTATTACATTTAATTTAAAGAAAAAAATTTATCCATTGTGAAAAATTAAATTTGGTATTTACCATGCATAAGTGCACTTACCTTAGAAAGGCTATCAGACATAGAACAATCATTGTATGGAGAATGAAGTGATTAAATGTAGTAAGCAAATAATTCCATTTGATTTCACCCATTGTATTTGTTCAGCAAACTATTAGAACCCACTCTGTTATACTAATTTCTAATTAATTTCTAATTTATACTAATTGCCATGCATTGATTTTCCTGTAAGTGAAGGGTAATAAATAATGCTCATTTTAACATTCATATGTGTTTGTAAATAATATATATGCTTTAAATCATATATTGTATTTTTTTAAATTATATAATTCAACTGATCTGCTCCGGTTACGTTCCCAGCTCCGGTTACGTTCCTAAGTAATATTTTTAAAACTTTTTTTTTAATTAAACAAATCAGAGTCGTGTGAATCAGAAATAACAGAATTATTCAATAGTATAAGGACTATTCTGTACTTTTTTCAAAAGTCTATACTTAAATGTTGTAAAAAGTTATAATCGAAAAACCATCTTTCGGAGTAAAGTCCGACTGCGCCGATTTCAATAACTTCGTACTTGATCAGAACTGGGTTCCAACAGAATTCCTTCAAATTCATGAATGAAATAGCCATTGCATGGAATACTTACTTTTGTCAAAATCAAAGTAGAACTCGAGTTAAAAAATATATTGTGCTTAATTATTGCCATTTCTTAGTAAAATGTCGTTCTCCGGTACGTTGCCAAAATTATTCGATGGTACCCCGTAAAATGTACATATTATTTACTGCATGTGACGGTATGATAGAGCATAATATTGGGAAAAATTAAAAGATGTTTTTATTTGTCTTTTAAATTTGACTTACATAGGTTTTTATTTTGAAATAATAAATATGCATAAGTCAAATGAATACGGGCTGCAGGCAATACATACTTCAAAAATCATTGAATGAAATATTTACTTAAAGGCAGAATCAGATCTATGGGGTCACATTATTGTAAAAATCTTAAGTTACATGTCCTAGGACCTAGATTACTAAATATGTTCATAAGGTTATTGATACAGTGCAGTAAACTTGTCCAATTTAGGTAAACTTGAACATATGATTAAATTTGAAATCTGTAATGTAATTCTTTATGTTATCACTCTTCAGGAGAAACTGGCATTATGTGCCAGGCGACTTCAAGTCCTATCAGACAAAAATACCCTGTGATGACTGCACCCCAGTACTCTATGAGATGGGTGTTCGGGAAATTTACCATCCATCCTCTGACAGCAGGAAGCGGCAGAAGAGTGGTATAGGCTACAGTAAAATACAGGAATATTGCAAAAATGAAAAAATTCAGTGTTTCGAGGTACTGATTGACTGTTATTAGGCAAATTTGATTATTCAAAAAATGACCATGTACGAGAGATCCCAATATCCCCATGAAAGTACCCATAGAATGAAAACTATCAACCGCCATTGTCTTTATTTTGATAATGTTGAGGGTTCATCATTTCAATAGTTCTAATATTCAAATTCACTTACCACACATTTTTATTATCCCACCGAACGAAGTTCGAGGGGGATATAGAAAAGCCGTTCGTCCGTCCGTTCGTGTGTCCGGGCAATAACTCAAATACCGGTTGACGGATTTCATTCAAATTTTATAGGCTTATGCCTTATGGGTGTAGGACCTCTGCTCGAGAAGGAATTTTCAATATGGCCACTAAATTCCAAATGGCGGCCATTTTTCTGAAAAATATAATCTTTGATTACTCAAATACTAGTAGATGGATTTGGTTCAAATTTTATATGCTATTGCCCAGGTACAAAGGAGCCTTGCTGAAGAAGACATTTTCAAGATGGACACCACATTTCAAAATGGTGGCCATTTTTTGTAAAAAAAAACGTTATCTTTGATAACTCAAGTACCATAGAATGGATTTGGATCAAATCTTATATGCTGTTGCCTGGGTACAAAGGAGCCCTGCTCAAGAAAACATTTTCAAGATGGCCACCATATTTCAAAATGGCGGCCATTTTTCGTAAAAAAATGTTATCTTTGATAGCTCAAATACCATTGAATAGATTTGGTTCTAATTTTACATGCTAATGCCTAGGGACATTGGAGCTCTGTTCAAGAAGGGATTTTCAAGATGGCAGCTAAATTTCAAAATGGCCGCCATTTTTCATAAAAGAATGTAACCTTTGATAAAAGTACCAGTTGACGGATTTGGATTAAATGTATATGCTGATGCCTTTGGACATAGGAGCTCTGCTAAAGGAGAAATCTAAAGATGACAGCTGAATTTCAAAATGGCAACCATGTCTCTTAAAAACACAATCTTTGATAATTCAAATACCAGGATTTGACTCAAATTTTATATGGCCGCTATTTACCAAAACATGTTTTGTTCGGTGGGATTTGCTACTTCGTGGAGTTGCTGTTTTTCTAGTTCAAGTTAAGATTATTTACTCTAGAGAGTACATGTATCTGGAACAAAATGACACCCTCAAACCTTTTTTACCAAAATCACCAAAATCGGAGCTGGGGACAGTATCATAAGTGAATTATGTTGAACATCATGCAATGGATTCATTTCAGAAAATAAAAATTCAATGTTTTTTGTCATTTGGCACCTTTCAAAAACATTAAATACAGAAGCCAATGGTTCTAAAATGCAAAAGGTCAAATGCAGTAATTCAGATTAAAGATTTATATTTAGCTGACATTTAGATTCAAGAATAGTTCTTGTGATTTATATAAATGTAGGTTTGATTTGCCTTTTTATCACACCATCGGTGGGATATAGTCGTCATCCTGGTCGTGGTCGTGATCGTGGTCGTGATCGTGGTCGTGGTCGTGATCATGGTCGTGATCGTCCCGCTTTTTGTCATCGCCGTTTAAGGAAAACTGCTCATCAGATTTTCTCCAAATTCGCAGAGATGATAGAGCATATGAAGTACTAGAGATCCTGGTCATGGTCGTGATCGTGGTCGTGGTCGTGATCGTCCCGCTTTTTGTCATCGCCGTTTAAGGAAAACTGCTCATCAGATTTTCTCCAAATTCGCAGAGATAATAGAGCATATGAAGTACTAGAGCTGATTAACTTTTGGGTGGCCATCTTGTTTTCTGGCGGCCATTTTGAAGGTTTTTCGAAAAATCTTGTCATCGCCATTTCAGGAAAACCGCTCATTGGATTTCCTTCAAATTTACACAAATGATAGAGGATATCAAGTACTAGAGCTGATTAACTTTTTGGCGGCCATCTTGTTTTCTGGCAGCCATTTTGAAGATTTTTCGAAAAATCTTGTCATCGCCATTTCAGAAAATCCGCTCGGATTTCCTTCAAATTTACACACATGATAGAGGATATCAAGTACTAGAGCTGATTAACTTTTGGGCGGCCATCTTGTTTTCTGGTGGCCATTTTGAAGGTTTTTCGAAAAATCTTGTCATCGCCATTTCAGGAAAACCGCTCATTGGATTTCCTTCAAATTTACACAAATGATAGAGGATATCAAGTACTAGAGCTGATTAACTTTGTGGCAGCCATCTTGTTTTCTGGCAGCCATTTTGAAGATTTTTCGAAAAATCTTGTCATCGCCAATTTAGGAAAACCGCTCATCGGATTTCCTTTAAATTCGCACAGATGATAGAGGATATCAAGTACTAGAGCTGATTAACTTTCGTGCGGCCATCTTGTTTTCTGGTGGCCATTTTTAAGGTTTTTGGAAAAATCTTGTCATTGCCATTTCAGGAAAACTGCTCATCGGATTTCCTGTACATGATATGCCTATTTGATGGTGTGATCTCGTTCACGTCCTGTGCCTTGTTAAATGTTTATGTTGTCCCCTGTGCTTCCTCATTTCATTCTGATTCATGTGTATTACCCTTTTCCCTGGCACACCAACACCATGCCCTCACTGGGCATGTTTCTATTTTGTAATCTGATATTATATACATGTAATTATAAAACCTGGATGTTCATCACCATATGTTTATTGAGATCAGATTTAGATGACTTAATTCTTTTGCATAGGCCTAATCATCTACTGCAAGTTCTCAGAAATTCAAAAATCACCTTCATCAGTGTTACTTACATTTGTTACACCTTTTTAACCATTTGCAGGTGGTGACACTTTGTGTCTTGTTTAGTATTTGCGAGCACATATATCTAGTAGCAATTATGTAAGGGGTGTTATTCTATTTCCAGGCAACAAAATCCAATGAACCAGAAGAAACTTGAGAACTCCCAGTAGAAAGTTACATGTATCTCGGGAAAAAGAAGCTGAATACAAGTATAAATATGCTTAAATAGGAGAACTGTAGATCTCTTAAGAGGAACTCTCCAAATATAGCCATAAATGCTTCAGCAGACCTGTGGATCTGATGGAGACCAGCTAAACTGTATACCTCCACACTAAACAAATCATATAAATTGGATTATACTTCAGTGGGTCCTTAAACTTTAATATTGAGACAAACCAGAGGAATTGACAATACAAACCACAAGGATAGTGAAATGTTTGTGATATTCATCAGAACTCCATAATGACGCATGACAACTACTTTAGCGATGCCTCCAACAAATATGACAATAACTGTAGAGATGGATACAAGATGGAGGATCCTGGTGTTTGTGACATTTGATCTGATTCTATAATTCTCCATAATGCATGACATTGACAACAACTATAGGGATGCCTCGATCAAATATGGCACTTACATTTGTAATGGAAAAAAATGTTGATATTCTGAAAAGTGTTTCAGTCATTTTTTTTTTGAAATATCATGATATAGCAAATGTTAAAGATTAGCCATTTGTATGTCACCATTGTGGACATTGTTTCAGTCATATTTTTTACTTTGGAATATCATAATATAACACATGTTAGTGATAAGCCATTTGTATGTCACCATTGTAGAAAGTGTTTCAGTCATATTTTTTCTTTGGAATATCATGATATAACACGTGCTAGTGATTAGCCATTAATTTGTATGTCACCATTGTAGAAAGTTTTTCAGTCATATTTTTTCTTTGGAATATCATGATATAATACATGTTAGTGATAAGCCATTTGTATGTCACCATTGTAGAAAGTGTTTCAGTCATATTTTTTCTTTGGAATATCATGATATAATACATGTTAGTGATAAGCCATTTGTATGTCACCATTGTGGAAAGTATTTGTCATATTTTTTCTTTATATATAAAATATTATGAGATAATGGTATACAGATATGTTCATGATATAATACATGTTAGTGATAAGCCATTTGTATGTCACCATTGTGGAAAGTATTTGTCATATTTTTTCTTTATATATAAAATATTATGAGATAATGGTATACAGATATGTTCTTAAGATACTCAGTGCAAACCTTATTACTGAAATACAAATGCAGATATACAAAGGGCAAAGTGAAAAACTAAACAAATAAAATAGATATATATTTAATAATTACTTACTGTGAGGCATATGCGTTGTACAAGGTGTTGCAATATACAGATAAGCCTAATATGGGCTCCTGGATCTGTAGCATTTGCCCTTCCATTTGCTCACATCTTCTCAGGGCTCTGTCTGATGACAGATTGATGGCAGATTGACCTTTTGCAGCATAAGTTATATTAAAGGCCCAGTATGAAGTTTAAAAATATAGTTTAATCAATCAAATACTACTTTCCATGACTTTTCGAATATTTTGATATCCTGCCATTTTAGAAACAAACATTAGATTTTTAGATCATCAAATAAAACAATTAGCATGGAGATTAAATATCTTATCAAAATTCACAATCTTATGATTTTGATAGGCTTTTTTCAGAAACACTACACTGTCAATAAAACAAAATTTTTTTTGAACAATTGAACTTTTAAGGTCATTTCAAATATTATCTATAGCTAATGAATTTTCGGCCGCCTAAAGTCTTTCTAAATGTTGTAAATTGTAATTCAACATTAATAATACCAGCACAATAAAATAAAATAATTCCAGCATATTAAAACATGCATTTCATTGTCGATTACTCACCCTATACAGATATTGTGCTATATGGAAACAAGCGGTGCGGATATCATGGTCGCAAGGTGCAGAAATTGCCAGTCCTAGTTGAACTTGTGGTATTTCATGAACTTAATAAAGGCATGTTGGGTACCCAATTATACATGAACATTATTCATCCTTTCTCCAGAGCAAAGGATTTGAAATTAATGCTTTAATACATGTACACAGTTTACAGCCTTCATTCAGTATTGGTGATAGTATTAATTAATAGTATGACCCATCGATATAAATTATTTTTGCATTTTTAAAGTCATAAACTTGTATACAAGTATGAATATAATTAAGTACCCAACAAGCTTTAGTTCGTGAAATGTCACGAATTCAATTTAAAAAAGACAGTTAATATCCGAACCTTGAGCACATGATATCCGCACCGCTTGTTTTGGTATAGCACGGTCTGCTTAGAGTGTTATTAAAAGCTTTCAATGCATGAAAATTGCAAATATGTTTCATTTTCCTTAAAAAGTGACAAGGCTATGGGCATAGGATCAGCTGCGACCTTCAAATGTACAAGGCTTAATATGGAAAGGTAAGATTTCCTGCACATGTATACGTATCTAGGTATATATGGTCTTTTAGCATTACGACAAGTGCAACACGAGAATTTAATAGAAAAAAGTATGATAGAGTTATAATATAGTATAAAGATATATAGTACTATAGAATAGATCAGATCATTGGTGATATCATATTTATCGACGAGTTGATATCAAATTCAAGTATCAACACGAATAAGCGAGTCAATAAAATTATCTTTAAATTATATCATGAGAGATCATGGTTATTATTACAATCAAATTGTTTTAATTTAACTTAATATTCAGCAAAATGAATTGTTTTCTGAAAACAGAATAAGCAATATCGGTGTCTGAAAAGAATCAAATGGATCTCTATACTAATAATACAATACTAGTGGGACAATATAATGATATGATCACGGTATGATATAACTTATTTTGATATGATGTTATACAAATATTTTGTGGGTAATACCTGAGACTATATGTTAGCTCAGGTAATACCATATGCTCATCGTTCACGAATAATGTTCCCCGATACCCAAAAATAGTGTCACTGTTAAACATCTCATTCTGTAACAAGGGAGAAAGGAGGCTAATTTATCAATAATGAACAGTAAGTATCTCGACAATTTATGGGTTCACTTGGTAATCCTTGACAAGTAAAATGGTTTCACTTTTAAAATGTAAATACAGGGTGGGCCAAAAAACGCCACTTTTTTCAAGACACCATAACTTCTTTATTTTCCAACCTACATACACCAAATACAATTATATAGTGCCAGGAGTCCTAAGTAATAAAATAATGTAACAAGTCCTTCAATTTGGATTATACGAGGGTTGTCCCAGAAGTAATGCACTATATGCTCTAACTTTCTTTAATATTCTTCAATTCAGCTGAAATTTTGTGTATATAACAATTGAAGTTTTATCTATTATATCCTGAAGTTTCAGCATCCAACATTATTATTAAGTCTTAATATGGTTGCTATAACAACATGAGGGTAGGGGTGGGCGGGGCAGGTACCAATTTTTCTAATTATGAAAAGATCTAAAGTGTTATTTTATTAATATTTCTTTCCTTTAAATGGTCAAAATGTTTGGGAAATTGTTAAATTTATTCAGCATGATTTTAACCAAGTACGAATAATGACATTTAGCACGCAATGTCATAATACCACATTCCAATAGTCACGAATCCTAATACAGTCACAGTCAAGAAATTGCAAAAAATGGCAGCAATTCTCACCTGATAACAGAAGGCCTTGCGTTTGGTGGCCTAATTTCATATTTCACTTGGACTCACAGCCACACAAAACAATGCTACCGTGAAGAAAGTATATAAAAAGTATATACCAGATAGAACTACAATTATGGGGTGGCAGAAGAGATTTAAAAGAGACGATTTGACCCTGTATGACAACTCCAAACATGGGAGGCAAAACCTCCACAATTCACAATGGAAGAAATCGCCTAAAGTGTTTGACCTGACAGGCATCAAAAGTTTATAACATGCAAAGGGCAATATTTTGAGAAAATGTGAAACGGGACACTGTGCAATATACATCCATTAAATCTAGGATGTGCTCATAGTAATTTAGTATCTTAAAATGTATTTTTGAGTATACTTCTTATAGCTACACCAAATGGTATTTGTTGATTAAATATTTCATATTTTCAATTTTTTATTCCTTTTGACGTGACTGTATAACCTGCCCCGCCATACCCAAACTCACCAACTTGATTTTATTATAACATCAATATAGTTTTACTAGTCAACATGAAAATTTTTAGAATAATCAAAATGTCTCTTAGGAACATTTACTGAACATTTCATGGAAAAATATCAATTACTGATAAAGTTAGACCATATAGTGCATTACTTCTGGGACAACCCTCGTATTTCACCTAAAAGAGGAGTTTTCAATTGACCCGCCATCCTGATCCTCGAGCTCTCTGATGATAGCCTTTAGTCCCGGGCTTTAGTCTTAGTCGCCATGCTGATATAGCAGTATCAATGAAATGTTGACTAAGTTTCTTTCTTTGAGCAATTCTTGAGATTGGATGCCTTTATACCATCTCTTGGAGACCTCCCCTGTACCCTATACTCACTGGGGTTTCCATTGGGACTGTTAGCTTGGTGGTCATCAGACTGTGTCAGTTTAGGAACAATTGCAATTTATATTTCTCATGGTACACCACATGTTAAGTGAGACGCTGGTAACATATTGTATTCAAGTGAAAGTGTACAATTCATAATCCATGGCTAGATTACAACTTCGTCTTGAGGTTTCATTTGGTATGGAAATTATGATTTTGGATTAAAACTTTAAAAAGATATAGTATTTTGAAAAAAAGTGGCGTTTTTTGTCCACCCTGTATATAAAGTCTTCAATTGCTCCAGAAGTGATGGCTGCAAAAGCTCACCTCGTTTCAAAATGGCCGCCATTTTTTTAGGTTTAAGGATTGGATCCCAGGGTTCCAACTCAATATTTTCAAACATAATTAGTGTCATTATTTGTCTGACATTTATCTGGCTATAAATTAAAAAATGGCGAGTTTACACAAGAAGTGATCAAGATATTAGTTGAAATCTTTTGATTGCGAATTTATAGTCAGATAAATTTCAGACAATGGCTTCGTTGGAAAATATCGCGTTAGAACCCTGGAATCAAATCCTCCTTGAAGTGATGACCGAACATTTCTAAAGGCCCTTATTAAAGGTTTTAACTCCTGTTTCCGAACCACAATTTTTGATACACTGTACTACATATAGTAGCAGACATTACTTGATTTATTTATACAATTTGAGCCAACTCCCTTGGAGTTTTTTGGAGTATAACGGATTTAAACAGGGTGGTTAAAGGAGCAAACTTGTTTTTAAAAGTCCAGTTTATAAATTCATTTACTTTCTTTGGAAGTAACCATATACTGAACAACTGGGAACAATAGTTTGGTCATTTATTGATTTATTTTAGCTATGATCGAGTCAAGTAATATGAGTACAGTATATGAAAGTTATTGAGGGTGTGAGCAAGGGTCTATTTTTAAAAGAATTATTGTAATTTTTGAAATTTATAGAAATACACAAAATCATATAAAATATATACCTAGAAAACATTTAGACACACTAGAAGACCAACCAATTTAACTCCAACGCCTGCATGGTGGGGAGGGTCAAATTGACCCTCTCTGTTTTTTATTAGTACTTTTTACAAGCTATTTTGTGCATCCATTGTTTTAGCTTGGGCTACCTAGATACATTGCAAATTGTGACATAAAGTTAAAGTGATTGAGGGTAGAGATGCAGCGATATGGTAGTTTGAAGTTGATTTCAAGTTAAAATAAAACTCCTCATAAGATATTGATAATTACCTTGTTTCTAGCACTGTGGAAAATGTAAATTGATATTTATTGTTCTGTTAGATGAACGGTCATTAAGGATATTGCATTCTCTTTTCCACCTGCCGTATTTCATGAAAATCTAGCCTATATTGGACTAGGTTATGAATTTCTAAACGTTAATAAAATACAGATAAGCATCAAGTTATTGCAAATAACATCTGCTTTACAAAATAATGTTTTTCCAAAACGTCTTGATGCATACCCGGGAATTTTCCTTCACATTCTTGAATAGTTATTTAAGTATGATGACGATCTGATCAGAATTCTAGATTTTATTGTCTTTTTCTCTTCGCCCCATTTTTTAGTGACACGTCAAATTTTTGGAATGACAATACAGGTTAAAATAGTTAATATTTGGAGTCTAAAGCCAAAACAAACCAAAAATCGATCAATCGTGAACAACCATTTTTCTGTACATTTAAAAATGGATGTGGCTTAAAACAAGCCTATAACAGTGAAAACAGATGAGAAATAATACTCATGTGAAAAACTAGATATTGATTTAATCTTACAATCATGTTCCATTTGTTTGATTGACTCATGATACCGTGATATGGTACTGAATATTCAATGCAAGAAAAGTGGGCGTCGACATCCTTTAACATAGCAGTTGGAAATCAATGGAATTTCATATTCATATTTTTAGTTAAATTTGAATTCTTAACAAGATAATGTGATATTAATAGTATGAGCATAATTTAGAAACAAAATATTATCAAAACAAATATTATCCTAACCTGATGGGGGTAGAAACTTTAAAATGTACGTTACCTGTACTTGCTATGGAGCAATTTTGGGCACAGTTGCTTCTTAAAGAGTAGAGTGTAGTGATTATTTGTGGAAATTTTCACGATTTGTTCCGCAAACGGCGATTACTTTACACTATTTATCCCGCTACTTGTGATATTCCCCATCCTTCATTCAAAGGACTTCATTAATTACTCAATTCCATAATTCAATTATGGAAAGAAGTGAAATACCCTTGGACCAAGGATGGATATTCCCTATGTCAAACCATCCTGGTGAATAACCTTTTTTATCTGATATGGAACCAAACAAGGTTCACTTGTGAGTCCTGTTTATTTCAACTTTTTGTGGTTTAACTGTATAATTTCTTCAAAATAATAGATGATTTCTGAATAATATGAAGTGCTAAAACGTAAGAACTCTTTTTAACATTATACTGTTCGAATTTCATTCCAAAATAGTGTACAGATTCGTCTCAAATCGAAAAAAAATTTTGGTTATCACTATTGGATTTAAACACGAATATTTTGAAACTTTGTCATTTTCATAAAGAATTCTTCCGTTATCTTCATGAAATATATATTCTCATAGCCCCTAGAACTTCTGGGAAATAATTGTGATGCCTAGCTGTCCACCTTAATAGAAGGAAACGTTTGTACTATATACTAAAACTCTTTACTATAAATGGAAATAAGTAATACCAAATTTTATCTCAATTCTAGTTTAATCATCCTAGTCTTACTTGCCGCTGGGAACTGCCAAGGTAAGAACCTACCATCATAATTTACTAAAATAGAATTAATTCTTTATCAAGTTTCACAACAAATTCATAGTACAAAATGGGAGAACTTTGTTATCTTACGTTAACGCTTTACCCAAGAATTTATCCTAACCTTGAGATGACTTAACAAAAAGTAGTATAAACATTCCCATTTCTTTTTTCTATAGAACTCAGTCTTCTAATATAACAATTATATTAAATGAGTTTGCTAAAGTATGATACCGTGGAATAATTATAATCAGGTCTTGAATGGAAGATGTCGGTAGCAGAACCATCATTTGTCTTCAAAACACTTTTCAACAATGTTGAAACTATCAACCTACCAGATGATATGTGCGTATACAGAATAATTGTGAAAAGCAAACAAATGACCAGACTACCCTCAGAAGTTGTGCTATGGTTCAAAGATCCGATGGGCACAAACGACCAGGCGAAAATACAAGCGTGAGTAACTTAAAATGTATCAAAACCTTAGTAATAATAGATAAAGAACATGTAATATGTAATATAGGGATGGTGTCATATTAAATTGTCAACAGCTGTGGAGGTAAGGAGTTAATTTCGTTATTTTTCATCTCTAAGTCTCACGGGGACCCAAATCTACACGAAAGCAACCGTTATTTGAATTTTAAAGCTACCAGATGTTTGAAAATCAAGGATTGTGAGTCTCATACAGCACCATTTTACTTCAAACTTGTTCCATTCAAAGGAAAACAAAAATGCCTTTCTGTCGTTGCATTGCTTTATTGTACAGAGTCCCTCGTTTTAGCTGGTAGGTCCAAAATTCAAATTAACGGTCGTAGTTGGCACCGCGTGACTCTGTTTCATCAATCATATATTATTTCAGACTTGTGCACGATTACAAGACAAAAACGAGCACTTTAAATTTGAACAGTCCAAAGGAAATAAAAAAAGTGAAAATAACATCATTGTGGAATCCGGCTAGAATAGAGGAAATTATATTGGATTACTCACCATGTGATGGTAAATATATCGGGTGTCCCTAAAAAACGCACACATTTTGAGAAGTATTTCCCCAGCAATTGATGACTCAAATTCATTGAAAATTTCTATAAAGTAGCCTAAGGACATCAATAGCAAGAATTTTGTTCAAAACTGATTTCAACTTGCTTCAAATTGACCTCACTTTTTTTTATTTATCATGTACACGTTCGGGCGCCGGTCGATTAGTATTTTTTAACATCGGCCGGACATCGTATTCAGGCGCCGGCCGATCACCGGCAACAATCGGCCGATTTTTAGACATCGTACGGGCGGCGGGAGAATATTATCTCTGACATAAAAGTTGCCGATGTCTCACCGACTTTTCTCTCAATCAAACTCATCGGAGCCTACCCTGCCGGCGCCCGTGTGGTCATCGTGCGATTATCGTACGCCTATCGTGACATCGTATGGTCATCCTGTGATTTCAATGAATTAACAAACCCCGATTCTAACTGGCAATTGGTAAATAGTTAAATAAAAGTTTTCACAAATCAAAATGTGCATTACAGATACCTGTATTATACAATATATATCAAATGAAGATGTCGTGTTTTACGGCAATCGTACGATCATCGTGCGATCATCGTACGACTTCCATGTATCAAATTGTTTGCGGCCACCGTACGATGTGTGAGCATACTCACGATGAATGCAAGATATCGAAAAAACGGTGATCGCAGGATTTCAATGTAACTAATCGTCCAGCGCCCGGAGCTCATATGAGCTAGTATAGGCATTAGTCTTGCATTAAGCCTCGTATCCTCCCCATCTATTTGGGGGATGTTTAAGAGGGGGAATGGGGCTAAGCGAGACTATGCTAGAGTATACAGTATACAACTCTTATTATACAATGATTATAATCAGTTCTCGAATGGAAGATGTCGGTAGCAGAACCATCATTTGTCTTCAAAACACTTTTCAACAATGTTGAAACTATCAACCTACCAGATGATATGTGCGTATACAGAATAATTGTGAAAAGTAAACAAATGACCAGACTACCCTCAGAAGTTGTGCTATGGTTCAAAGATCCGATGGGCACAAACGACCAGGCGAAAATACAAGCGTAAGTAACTTAAAATGTATCAAAACCTTAGTAATAGATAATAAAACATGTAATAGAACATGTAATATAGGGATGGTGTCATATTAAATTGTCAACAGCTGTGGAGGTTAGGAGTTAATTTCGTTAATTTTCATCTCTAAGTCTCACGGGGACCCAAATCTACACGAAAGCAACCGTTATTTGAATTTTAGACCTACGAGATGTTCAAGAATTGAAAATCAAGGATTGTGAGTCTCATACTGCACCGTTTTAGCGGCGTTTGGATCCCCAGCTGTGAGAAGCGCTTCTCACAGCTGGTAATCCAAACGCCGCTAAAAGGAGGAACCCTGTATAACAGTTTAAATAACAGAAAGGCATTTTTGTTTTGCTTTTAATGGAACAAGTTTGAAGAAAACGGTGCAGTATGAGACTCACAATCTTTGATTTTCAAACACCTGGTAGATCCAAAATTCAAATTAACGGTCGTAGTTGCCAACGCGGCGTGACTCTGTTTCATAAATCAAATATTATTTCAGATATCTGCATAATGACAAGACTAAAACGAGCACTTTAAATTTGAGCAGTCCGAAGGAAATAAAGAAAGTGAAAATGACATCATGGTGGAATCCGGCTACAATAGAGGAAATTATATTGGATCATAATTACTCACCATGTCATGGTAAATATATATAATATAATGGTAAACTAAAGGGTGTTTCATTTTAACATTTATTCAGATTATCCTTAAAATGACAATGGCCACAAAAAAATTTCAGCCCGATTGGTCAACTTTTAGACCCCCCCCCCTCCTACCGCGATTTTTGTTTTTTGGGGGTCTGCCACAATGCAACAAGTCCATTTACAGTGTTCACTAGCACATGGAATATAAGTCACAGTGTTTCCATATTACCTGGACAATGAGATAGTACCACCAAAAATACATATGAGCAGATTCAAGGTCCTAGTACAAATATTTTTTACCGATCTATCGGTGTTCAAAAATGGGGAAAGCTGTCGCGAGTGACGTTTTAACTAATTTTGAACTAGAACTGCTACTTTATGAATTTTTTTTCAACATCAGTGAATTGGTTAGACCCCAAACACTAACAGGATATCAATACATAATGCTACCAGGTCATAGTAAGTGTAGTTACAGATTTATTGGCATCTGAAAATGCTCAACTTCAACAAGTATTGAACACTTCCTTTATAATACTAGTAACTTTGAGAAAATTTGTGACCATTGGAGATACACCAATGAAACTCGAAAGAACATTTATTGAACAAGGTTTGATAATTCCAAATACTTTAAAGTATGACTTTAAACCCATGATGAATGACTTGAGTTGAGTCCCATAAATGTTGAAAATGACTTAGTAAAATCGGCATCGAAACACAAAAAATTCAAAATGTCATCTTCTGTACCTATAGGTTGGATTTTTCACGAAATAAAAAGTGTCAACTTTGTGTTATAATTATTCATTATGATATCATCCGTTCCAGAATGATTTTGAATATATGTAAGCCATAACATTAAAATAATTGGCCATAAACCAGCCATTTACTTTCACCTCAGTTTATCTGATATACTGTTGGTTTATTTGATGATATTGATATTTGGGTTTTCGTAAAACACCGACCGCCGACCACCGACCAGTCACTCTCCACAGTTGGGTGCATGTGGTCGGTGGTCGGCTGACGGTCTTTTACATAAGGATGAAAAAATGCAAAATTAGAAGTAAAACTAAAACTGGGAATCCAATGACTATAGTACCTTTACTAGGTCGTGATTTAAAAACGTATAATTATCATTTCAAATCACGATGAAAACGTTACATCGTCGTGGTGTGTAATGTCATATTTTTAAGTGATGTTTCAGTTGTTAGAAGACCAATTTCATCCTGGTTAGTTACTTTGGAAAAAACGCACGTAACAAAATTGCATTAAGTTCATTCTTCATTCATATGAAACGCAATAACAAAAACACACAAACATCGTAGATGTTGACGTCGTAACGTTATGTTTGATTTCTCAGTTGTTAAACGTCAACTGGTAAAAACTACATTTGATATGACAAAAAAAAGCTTTCTAATGGTATACTGAAATGGTAAGTCACTTTTAATCCCGATAAGAGAACGCATTTAACATTATATCGTGTTAAGTATTCAGTAGGCTATGACGATAACAAATCATTTTTGTTTCGAAATTGTTAAATTTCAGTAAAAAATTAGGATAGATTCCCGTAGAAACGATAGGTTGGTTAATGATCGGTTAGGACCTAAGGCAGGACAATTAATCGAGAGGAGACGGTCATGACCAATTTGTTTGCTTGCCATTCGTTGCAAGGTACAAAATCGGTAAAAAACGTTGCCTAGTCCAACGATTGACATTCAAAATCAAATTATTAATATTCTAAGGCTACAAATATGTTCGGTCTTTTACATGATATGGTCGGTCTTTTACACATTTTCTTCAAACCCTGTTTTGAGGCTACCAGTGGAAAACACCAACCGGTCGGTGGTCGGTGGGGTCGGTCTTTTCCGAAAACCCTTGATATTTTCAGGTGAAGGCACACATCAGACGCCCCAACACTGAACACAAACACTAAACCAACATCTATGGACATGATGGAGGGCAAGAACGATCTAACGAGACTTTAGGCGAACGACTTCACTCTTTCAGATTAAACAGTAAACATTCATTATATATTATATATAAATATGCAATCTAAAAAATAAAAGTTCGCTACAGGCGACCTATGCACCAACAAGAATTTATATTGTTATGTTCGATGGATAATAAATGGGTGGTAAACATAAATGATTTTAGCGCAAAAACCTATCCATTAGACGAGAAATAATGCATCGAGATTAATTGTAAACACGAGCCTGCATGCCGAGTGCTTTTGGGCTAGTGTACTTCATGCATCATACAGAGTGACCGGAAAAAAGGAGACCATTGAAGTAGGCAATATCTCCTAAACTAGACAAGCGACAACGATGAAATTTTGCACACATCAGAACAGTGACCTCAAGAAGGGAATCACTGCAAATGTAATGCCATTCCAAGAGCTGAATATGTAAGGGTATCTTGCCATACGAATCCAGTTCTGCCTTGGTCTCAATTGTGGTAAATCGAAGCATGTAATGTAAATGATCACAGCTCCTAAACCAGCTGACTGGTTGTATCGAAACGTTCAGGAACAAATTTCCAAAGAACTGTTCAGATGTGTGCAAAATTTCATTGATGTCACCTGTCTAGTTTAGGAGATTTTGCCTAATTCAATGGTTTCCCTTTTTCCGGTCACCCTGTATGACATTGTATTATTAGTTGGGCAAAACAAAGAGAAATGTAATTCAAGATGCATACATTTTACAAGGCCCTTATTGCTCATCTGGATATTGGTCAAGCTATGAGCCTGGAAAGAATGCATGTGTGCGTGTTTCAGCCATGGATATACTATGTTTTGATTGGGCAGAATTTAATTGTTAATGGATGCCCACATACATGTATGTGTGCAGTGAATACTGCATAATGAACAAATTATGAAAAAAGTGCAACATATTTTATACAATTTCAAAACAATGAAAGCTACGAAATGATAGAAACTATTTATTTGCTTTTGTGTTAATCTGCATATTTCCGATATACAGGGTGGTCCAAAAAATGGGACACTCATATTTCAAAAATAAATATTGATTTATTGATGAAAACATATCAATTTATATACCAGTGGATAGGGGATTTAATTATCTTTACTTTGGTATATCATAAGTTCAGATTTATTATAATGCCTGCCTGTCAACCAGCGTCAATAATACAAATGACATCATACGAGTGTCCCATTTTAGGACCACCCTGTACATGTACATTTCTGACGATCATATTAAAGCTATAAAGAAGATGTAAACTATTAATTAAAATTGCTTACGAAGCTGAAACACCCACTCCCAAGCAAGCACTGTAGTGTACAATACAAGAGTTTGACTAATCTGTATTGTGAAAGACCTTCACTGGCCTACTATAGCAACAGAAAAAATATACCCCTTTCTCAAATTTAATTTTGATTTCCCATTCATAAGTCATGTGATGAGGCTTTAGTCTCTCAAAGATAAACAGTGGTAGAATTCCTGTACAATTGTCAATGATGTTTGCTATTTGTCATTTTTATCATGAACCAACAACAGATGTATTATTTCTTCTTTTAGAATGAACTTACTATTTTGAACATAATATGGAGTAACCACAAGTCTGTCGATTTTACTGTAATCTCCAACACGCTTATATTTTTAAAGAATAATCAAGAAAATTCATGTTCACAAATGAATTCCTTCATGTCAAAAAACGTGAATGAGGATTTGCGGTTTGAAAAACTAACAACACGTTTCAAGTTCCTTGAATTCAGGGTTGAAGGCAGCAAATATTTTGGAAAATGCCATTTCGAATGTATATGAAAAATATTGATATACTTGAAGTTTTTCTTATGAAATACATATTGCTGGATCTCGATACATTGCCTTGTGTGAGATACACGAATGTGTATTGTTTTAACTTCGTTCAGATATTTTGACGTGATTGACGTTTTCGGTTATCACCGACCACTGTAGCTTCCAACTCAATTTTCAAAAGCCAAATATGATGATCACAAAGTGATATTAAGGTCATCTATTTTTTATATTTTTATATTTGTACCTTGACTGTCGAATACATGCCGTATCACATTTATATAAATATCCACCTCTTGTGAAAGATCGAACGATTTAAGAATCCTCCTTCAAAGTGTAACCAAAGTGCTCCCCGGGAATAGAAATTCCTTCTAGTGCATGATAATCGCGGGTAATTTGATTTTTTCGACGAAATTTATAGCTTACATCTCTAGAATTTAATATGATAATCTCATTGAAAGGAACATGCAGTTTTTGTCGATCCGTCAAGATAAAAGGCAAATGTTGCAAAAAACAACGAGTTGACACGCTGATATTTGAAATTGTAATCTCCAACATCATTGTCGACTCAGCATTAAGCATTGATCAAGTCACTGTCTATTTGTCATGGAATTTGCATGTTTTTTGATCAGTTTTTTATTTTATAAGACCACATCAACTTCATCAACTTATGCTAAATTGTCTCTCTGGTGGAGGATGGAAGAAAAAAGAATTTACTGAAATAAGAGCTTGTTTAGAGAAGTATTAGTTAATCCATTGAACTATTTTGATTCAGGATTAGTTTCTTAAATCTCGGCTCACACAAAATGCTTTAAGACGCATGCAAATTCTCTTTCATCTTAAGATAGATGGCACCACGACCACGTCCTGCTCTAAATTATCCATTGATTAAAGCGAATTAGAAGCATTTAGGCATCAGAAAATCACTATATCAAGCTGATTTAAAATTTAAAGGTAAGGATTTTTAGGAAGATCATCATATCTTTGGAATGTCATGTCTGACATCTTGTAAGATAACGTAATATTGATTGATATAAGCGAGATTATGTGGACATATATTTTATAAAATGTATCTTTGATTCAACATATAGGGAAGGGGGTGAAACAGTATAATGGCCCCCAAATTTATGCTACTAATAAACATAAGAAGATGACGTTATATAATTAAAGCATGAGAACTATCATGGATTCGGCAAAGTATATTCATCTTGAAGTATGCACCATTTTTCAAAAATTTTAAAAAGTAATATTTATATATTTGTTTACAGCACGATCCACACGACACACATTTACGATTCAACTATCAGCAGTGGCGTAGCCAGCATTTGGTGACCAGAGGTTCGATTTTTTATGTTATCCACAAACTTCCCCCTCATCGGTGTACCTCACATAAAAGCATTTTTGTATTTGTCATACATACAATTTACACCCCTCCAAAGGTTTGGCAACCGTTACATCCCCATTGAGTGTTTAAGCCTCCTTGTGGTTGAATGCTTATTTTTATAATATGTATACAGTAGTGTTAAGAAAAAAAATTAACATCATTTCCGATACCTCCATTTTGTTTTCGCAAAATGTAATTGAATTTGAAAATGTTAGACAATTCGATTTTCTATATTGAAATCTGAATCAAGGGTTAGCATACATTGAGCTAACTTTTGTAAAGGGCGAATTCTAACATATCTTTAAGGAACATATTTTTAATGAGCTATTTTATTGGGAAATCCTCATTCCTAATTCATTCTTTATATTAGAGTTCATTCAAAATTATGTCAAATTTTGTTTTTCTTACTTTATATCAATGATTTAGCTGATGCAGTTTTAAATAGCACTCTGTACCTTTATGCTGATGATAGCTAAATTTTTCTACCTGTCAAAAAGGAGAACTCAGCCCGTCAGACATATCTAGAACTCTAACAAGATGTTGATAGAATAGAAAACTGGTCAACGATTTGGAAATTAAAATTTAAGACTAGTAAAAGCAAGGAAGTATTTTACCAGTCTAATTTAAGAACCCAAGTTGCCCAAATTCCGGTTGTGTTAAATGGTGACGCTATTCCATTTACTTATAGTCATAAACATCTTGGTATTATTGTAGAACAGTCTTTAAATTTTGAAGAACATATTACTAGTATTATTGTTAAATGTAACAGGATGTTGAACTCACTTATGGCACAAAGCATAACTTAAGATCAAAACATCTAGAGAAGATTTATATGGCTTTCATACTTCCTCATTTAGAATATTATATATCATATTTGTGCAAATTTAAAGGAAGTAGTGCGCTCTCCATTATGATCTCCCCATGAAGAAAAATTAATTCATCTGATTTTACAAAATGAGTATACTGCTTTTATTATTACATTTATATACATACTAGTATAGTATCTTGTTGACCTATCAGTCATTCCAGATAGTAATGCCCCAATCGGTTTTCAGAAAATGATAAAAATAAAGTTTCTCCATTTCACGTCATACCTTGTTATTTTATGAGGTTATATGTCTACAGCATAATACTAAAAAATTGGCTTTTAGACTCTTTTGGTTTCGTAGTAATTTTGATTTGAAATATGTGGTCCAAATCTAAAGTTTTTGTGCCATTTTAAATTACGTTATAGGTACCATCTTAATTGATTTGAATACTTCTTAATTTATGACAGTGCTACCAAATAAAATGTTTTTCGACCTTTAAGTACAGACATTAGGGCACTGATACTTATCAGGAGGATTAATGATTGTTGGCTTTTGAACTTTTTTTGCTCAATTACAAATATTTTATATGTTTGTCCTTTAAATTGTAATTTCCATAATGTTTGTCAGTCATTCAATCATTAAGTGTAAATCTTTTGTGACCATTGCCTCGGTTTAATACTTTTTAGCAGAGCAAAGGAGTATATCTCTGCATTGTTAAACACTAATATTGGATACTGTCATGGTTATCTATTTGTAAAAAAACTCAAACATTAAACATGCCTATATTGTAACGTAGATTAATTGCTGGGAACTGACATTTTCAATTCAATCAGTTGCACAATATAGTGATTTCCAAAGAATTAGCTTGGTCCGTTTTAAATATAAGAGAAACTCATTTTATGAAAACACACTATGTTCATGTAAAATATAGCATTTGCGTACTATATTTAAACGAATGGTAACGTAGACTAACATCTTAGAACATCAGCTCCATGTGTCATTAAATCTGATCAAGAAGACATTTCAATGAAAAAACCAAACCAATCATTACATATTGTGAATAACAATGGTGCTAAATGTACTTGGTATATAGACCCCTCATCCTAGTACTGAATCAGCAAATTTTGGTAACGCT